AGTCGGTTTCTCGCCTCTAGCATAACAATTACCAAGTATAGTCTATTATGCAAGATCAATTTGTAAAGGTGATGTCTGTGAGTTTACACGTCATTACTTCGACATGTTTTTAAATATTTTATACTCGTCAGGATCACATTTTTTTTTACACATAATGCGCTTTTTTACATTTTATAAATCGTACAAGCAAAAGAATAATTCCGAGATATTAGCCACGCAACGCGACTGTCATGTCGGATAAATTGTGATGATCATTAATTCATATTGTCACTTCATCATCTAAACTGGTTTGTTCCAGAACTCGTTACGCATTGTTGTGCTTTTTAACGCATGTAAGTATCATAAATCAATGATCATACCATCGGTATAATAATTTCGAGATATGGTGCGTGTAATATAATTGTGACACATCTGCAACATTTATTTGTACAACATCAATTTGTATTATATTGTTACATATGTGCAATTGTTAAATAAGTCAATATTCTACTGATATAATAATTTCATATTATTGCCTCTGCATGATAAATTTATGAAAGTCATGATACACATCTACATAATGATTCTCTAAATTATAGAAATTTTGCTGTTTTATGTTCAACGATTACAGTCCATTTTCGCATTGTATAACGATCTCTGCTATTGCCGTCACATGAAAATATAATTGTGACACATCTGCAACATTTATTTGTACGATACCAATTTGTATTATATTGTTACATATGTGCAATTGTTAAATAAGTCAATATTCTACTGATATAATAATTTCATATTATTACCTCTGCATGATAAATTTATGAAAGTCATGATACACACCTACATAATGTTTCTCTAAATTATAGAAATTATGTTTTATGTTCAATGATTACAGTCCATTTTCGCATTGTATAATAATCTCTGCTATTGTCGTCATAAAAAAAAGATTGCGTCCGAGATCAATTTGCGGTACTCGCTCTTTCGCGTCGCGAAATTGATTGTCGCGGATGAATGCAGATAACGTGATATGTAATTTGTTCCGTTGCATCGTTCCCGTCACTACCGATTTCAACGTGATCCCCTCGATGCGACATCCCAATTCCGCGCACGCTTGTCATCGCGGAACGACCGATAACGCGGTAACTTATTGCAGATGAAAGGGACGGTAATTAATGCCGTCCGTGCGAGCGATGGGCCGAGCATCGAAACCGAGTATCGGAGCTGGACTTGAAAATAATTGTCAGCGCAAACTTGTTTTCGTTTCGTAAATCCGCGTTTAATATTCACGTTCAATATGTACTTTCATCGATCACGCGACGTGTATTTCGGAGCGCGTCTCTTTCTCTCGTGCGAGTATTTTAATGTTACCGTATCGGATATTGATAAAAAGGGGGCTTTCACGTATATTGCTACGCATTATCGTGAATATGCTATAAATACGGAAACGTTAAGTGAAAGTTTTATATTATTTGGAATTTTTATTGTTGCTCCGATATATAATGACAATATTGAGATGTTTATTGTTGGTTTAAATCGTTCTATAAATTTTCATGTTAATTGGTGGATTATTGCATTTTCGAACTGTGCATGCATTTAGTCAGAAATTAATTGCGTTACGTATACATATACGTAAACAATATAGAAGTCCGAATCCGAATCATAGAAATCCAAATCACGTTCTAGGCGGAAATGCTTCGTTTACCATTATCGCATATTATCATTGAGATTATTAATAGTAAACGGATTATGAATAATTCATTTCGATTAAATTTTTGTCTGTTCTAAACATTCCTGATTTTTATTATACGAGAGAAATTTTTTCTCTTGCCGCTGTGAAAAATGATTTGTATTTTGTGCTATTTTAAATTTGCGAAAAATTTTCTATTCTTTCATATCTGTTAATTGCTTTGATAGATAAAAATATGAGAATGTCGCGGTGTATATCGGCCGCCTAAAGAGTTTATATTTTTATATTTGCAATTTCGCGTACGCTCGAGTTGCTCGTCTTCCGCTTCATTTCTGATACTCCAACAACAAACACAGCAACAACTACACGACAACGGTGATCCTCTTGTAATCCCAGCTGCGCATGATGCAGAGCAGCAACGGTGACACGTCGTCGCTAGAAATAACAATATCGGATTTTGCTGTCCTATAGCCGTCATAGCGCCTTCCGATCTAAATAATATTCTGAGTTATATCGTTTTCGATGGTGTTCCGTCTTGTTAAAATTAACTATTTTCGACATGCAATGTTAATATATTATTCTTCCATTTAAAATAATTATAATATTTCTTAAATATTATCATTAGCTGCTGTGTTGATGAATTACATTACGATATTTCAAGGGGTGAATGGTTATTTCCATACGGTATATTAATATTCGTAATATTCTACGGACGAGAAAATAGATTTCTTGAAGAAAATGACAAGGTGGGAAGAAAGAATACGCTGTTTAAACTTACACCTTTATATTGCAAATACAACACAATAATGTATATACTTAAATTATAATCTATATTTTTTCTAAATTTATTTTAAAAGAATCATTAAAAAAAAATTAGATAAAATAAGTATGATTAGATGTATTAATTTTTCCATTATTGCATCAGTTTCGAAGCCCTCTCTTTCCCCAGATAATATATTATATAATTTTACTCGCAAAAGATTGAAAGGGGAGAGCATTAAATATCTCTCGCACTATTTGTCTCGTTATGTAAGGCTAAGCAAATTCATGTTTTCTTCTTTGCGGCGGCTCCAGAAACGCAAAGTGTCGTTAATTACGGCGGTGCTTTGCACCGCCGTTAATCACGCCAACTACACGCATATTTGCGGCCGCAGGCATGCACGATCATACGCACAAATCCTCCACCCGTGTTTGCATATTGGATGGAAACTCTTCGTTTGACGACATACATACCTTGGAAATTTATCGTACAATTGACTTATTGTTTTGACAGCCTTGCCACGAGAGGAATCGCACACATGGTATTCTATCATCACCATATCCAATATATTCACAGAATATAAAAGGATCGATAAAACGTTGGTTGCATATCGCTCTCGATTAATTGCAGAAGCCTCGAAACATGCATCCTCACAATTATTTCCGTTGTAATGAACAAATTTAAGAAAATTGTGAGATACTTTTTGAAATTTTTTGCTGAGAGCGAGTTTTATTCTTTTCCTCTTTGTACGCGCAATATTAGATTTATTATTAATTTACTGTGCATGAAGAGGCGCACGTAAAAGCACGTAATACAATTTGTATTACATTGACGGTTTCCTAAAATAAAATTGATATTGAAACATGAAATTATTTGCTGTTCCTTATAAAAAAATCTACATAATGTTGATACACACACAAATTTTGTTTAAATATTTCTATTATATATCTTTTAAATAAAATGTATATATATATTTTTTTTATTTATTATGCTTTGTGTGTGTATTTTTAATTATATATGTTTATCTTATTAATATGTAGAGATGAATGATTTTTGCATCCTTGTGAAATTTACAAATTTGGATAAGATATGATTCGTGATGAATAATATTTTCTTCGTCTATAATATACAGTAAGCTTACCTTTGCAAAGAGAAGCCTAATCGTAATCTTGTTAACAAGTCACGAGAGCTTATATGAGTGACATGGAAAAATGCAGTTTGACAATAATTTACGAAATTAATGTAAACACACAGTAACGTAGATGATTAATCTAATAGTAATCTAAATTGCGCGATAAGATTTATGATTTATGATTTATACTCTGGAAGCATACTTTTGAGAGATACTTATATATTACGCATAATACGTATTTAATTAATAAAATATTAATCAGCGTGTGTGGTATTTAACTTGCGCCGTTATCTTAATTATTGTGCTTGTGTGTGAGCCCAGATAAGCGAGCGACGATATCTCGATTTGCACTTGAGATTGAGCCGCAATCCGAACACGTGGTAACTAGAAGTTATGCTGTAATTTCCTGTTAATGTCAATGCAGCAGTTTCGTGTACAACAAAACTTAACAACAAGTTTAATTCTACAAAGTTCCTAATTATTCGAGCTTGAATTTCTGCCGGTACATATAATTATATATTATGCAAGAGACATGGGATTATCTACATGTTCCATTAATATAAAATAGTTGGATCAATAGCTTGCTTGTCGTCTACCGAGTTGCGCTCGTCCCTTTTGTCTACTGCAAGAGGAAGCCACATTCTACTTTGACATTTCTATTGTAGTTTTTTTTTCTCTATAAAACAATACGTCCAATGCGTATCTAATACTACACAAAATCGTGATAAATATAATATAGTATAAAAAATAGAACTAACACCGTGACATGTTTTTTTTTCATATATCACGCAACAAAGTCGATAAGATTATGATATATAAAAGCAGAGCTCAATAAAAAATATAGTAGCTAAAATATATCTCATTTTATCAGATATATCTCATTTCACACGTGTGAAGTATTGTACAATACTTCATAATTGAAAAGTAAGCAATTTTGTGGTAATTACAAGAAAGCTCTTCCCTTTTATGCAACGTTTTAAAGCTATCCTTTTAAATGGCAAGACAAGGACTTGTTTCAATATCGACCTACATCGGGGGTCGTTTCTCTTCTCTTGCTTATTTAATAATGATTCGCCCGCAATGTCGACATTGCATAGTTACAAAGCCGGAGATGCGGCTATTGTATCTATATCACTCCGAAACTTCGTGTATTATCAATGTTACGTGACACGTATAATGCGCTAGGTGATATGATTAATCATTGCGAGAAGAAAATAAAAGAAGCAAAGATAATATATAACAAATAATCAAAGAATATTTTTTTTTGTATAATACATGTAGTAGAATATGATAATAATTACTTGGCTTTTGCGAGAAATGTATTTATATATTTTAAACGAGTGACACACACACACTATATGAAATTGATATAATAATGTGTTATTCGTTGTTTTAATATGTTACTTTCGCATGATTATTAACTTGGCAATGTATATTATTTTTAGATTGGTCGATGACAGGTGTGTAGTATGTCCCGAAGCTGGAGATTTATCAAACCCGCCGAAGAAATTCAGAGGTAATTTATATCTTTTGAGATATTTATACTCTTTAACTCTTATTGCAATAAATATATCAATGAATTTCCTGATAATTTTTATATCGATATTTTCTTAATTTTCTTAAATATTCGTTATCGTTATCTTAATTTTTTTAAATATTCGCTATCGCGAATAATTAAGATAAGCGATATTCAAATAAGTATAAAATAATGTAAAAATGTTAAGCAATAACAATAATTGTTTTTTAGATTGTCTCTTCAAAATATGTCCCATGAATCGGTATTCCGCCCAAAAGCAATTCTGGAAGGCAGCAAAACAAAGCGCAAGTTCGGGTACAGATGCTGTGCTTCTCAAAAGGCTTCATGTGAGTTGTAAAATTAATGGACCATTTAATCAATTTTCTTATTGTAGATTATACAAGGAAATATATTAATCTTACGTTCAAAGTTGTGAAAAACATATTAACACACATGTTTGAGAAAATAAATGCGTGATAACGCATGTATATACATATATTGAATGTTGATAAGTAGAAAATATCAAACCGATTTTGTTACGACAGATATTGATTATTTAATTCAACTTTATTATTTACGCAGTGTTTTAATATTTCCAATTAATGAGAATGAGATTGACAGAGTATGTGTGTTATTCTTGAAAAGTAAAAAATTAATGCAATATTTTACATTTATTTTAATATGTTATACATATACATATAAATTATGTCGATATATAATTATATAATTAATTTATTTCGAACTCAGCATGCAGCTGAAATCGAGAAAAAGCAAAATGAGACCGAAAATAAGAAACTATTGGGCACCGTGGTTTCGTACGGTAACGTCGTACAGGTAAGAAAAAAAATAATCCTTCTTCCTTTAAAAAGTCGCTTCTCAGTGACATTAATTTTACTGAAGTATATCTTGAACGTCTTATGCTTGATTGCATATTCTTATAACGTAGAAAGGGTATATGAATAATAATAGATTTATCAATACTGCTAGGGGAGCAATTTTTCCCTTAACGCCTTCTTTTTTTGCAAAGCGATCATAAAAACTGTCTGGTACACCCATCCGTATTGACTAGTTATCTGCCTTGTATAGAGCGTGCGATAAGTGTTTGCCAATTAACAAGTTTTCCTTCTTCGGTGATATCGTTGCCGTGTCGAAAAATAGAAGCAAACGTTATAAATGTTGAGTTTCTTGCAAACAATTCAACTTCCTTTTCGTCGTTACAAGAAAATTAAAAAAATTATATGTAATGTAGCACTTCGTACTTTTTGCTAAATGAGATAACGTTATATATTAAACACTATATATTCCATGTATTTTATATAATATTATATATTTCGATTATACCTTCGATCGCAAAGTGGATATCATTAGATAAATTAATGTCTGCTGTAATGTATGAATTTTATTGAATTATCGCACATCTCTTATATATTATGTCAATACATAAACTTTTATTAATTAATTTATATTCTATTTTATATATACATATACACACCTCAATATTCCATACGATTAGAATGTTTACATTTAGCTTGTAGAATAATTAAATCGTGTTTATTGTGTTTAGCTTGTAGAATAATTATATAATTACATAATAATACAAATTTATTCGAGTTATGTACATCGCTCATAAACACGATAAATATATAAATAATTAATGTAGAAATAATTAAGCGACATTATTACGCGCGTATAATGTATCAACATTTACTTTATACATGTACACACACACACACACATACACACATGTATTCGATTATTATCTGTTTTTTTTACAGTTACTGCACCTCAAGTCTAACAAATTCCTGACGGTGAACAAGAGACTGCCAGCATTGCTGGAGAAGAACGCGATGAGGGTTTATTTGGATGCAAACGGAAATGAGGGTTCGTGGCTCTACATAATGCCATTCTATAAGTTGCGAAGCGACGGTGACAGCGTCGTTGTCGGCGATAAAGTGATTATGGAACCGGTAAACGCGGGTCGTCAGGGCCTTCACGTGGCCGCCAATTACGAACTAAGCGATAATCCCGGCTGCAAGGAAGTCAACGTCGTGAATTTGTCCACCTCTTGGAAGGTGACCCTCTTTATGGAACACCGAGAGAATCAGGAGGAAATCTTGAAAGGTGGCGATGTCGTGCGACTGTTTCATGCTGAGCAAGAAAAATTTCTGACGATGGATGAGTACAAGAAGAAACACCACGTATTTTTACGGACGACGGGCAGAACCAGCGCTACCGCGGCTACCAGCAGCAAGGCTTTGTGGGAAGTCGAGGTGAGCTATCTTTTTATATAATCATTAAAATTTATTTATACATGTGTAATATTATTATGTGTAAAATATTTCACGTATTTATTGAAATATCCTTTAAAGTTTTGAGATTTTCTTTATTTGAATTTTTATTGTGTGTTATTCTTTTAGCATTTTTGGGATATCTTATGTAAACAATTTTCTTCGTTTATTTGTCATTGATAGGTGGTACAACATGATCCGTGTAGAGGAGGCGCCGGACATTGGAATTCACTTTTTAGATTTAAACATCTAGCGACTGGCCAGTATCTCGCTGCTGAGATTGATACGGATGAGCCACGGGAACCTGTAAAAGGAAAACGCGGTATGGTATACAAATATTTCGAAATTAAGTATTAAGATATATTAAGTTGGAAAATGATTAAATCGAATTTAAAACATATTTTTCTAAAAATACACTTGGCGTTCATGATTAATGAAGTAATAGCAAATCAATTATTTATATTGATGGTTTAATAGATCCACCTGGACCGGTCTATAGATTAGTGTCGGTGCCGCATAGCAACGAAATTAGCTCATTATTCGAACTAGATCCTACAACTTTAACTCGAGGAGATAGTTTAGTTCCACAATCATCCTTTGTTAGATTACATCATATATGCACAAATACTTGGGTTCATTCGACAAGCGTACCAATCGATAAAGATGACGAGAAGCCTGTAATGTCGAAGGTACGATTATAATTCGTACATCGAAGAAATTATGAATGATATTTATTAAGGAAATAAATTTATTTTATTCGATCGTTTATTTCTTAAAGGTCGGTTGCGCGATCAGTAAAGAGGATAAAGAGGCTTTCGCTTTGAGGTCCGTATCACCGGTCGAAGTGCGCGATTTAGATTTCGCAAACGATGCCTGCAAGGTATTGACGGCTATGAACAGCAAGCTGGAAAAGGGAACAATTTCACATAACGAACGAAGAGCTGTCACTAGCCTGCTGCAAGATATTGTATACTTTATAGCTGGTTTAGAGAGCGAACAAAATAAATCTGAGGCGTTGGAGCTAATCGTTTCGAATGCTGTGAGGGACCGTCAGAAATTATTGCGCGAACAATACATCCTTGGACAATTGTTTAAAATATTGCAGGTATTCTCGACGTGTTGATCGCGCACAGATATCTTTCGCGAAGGATATCTCAAAATACAGTTTTAATTACAGGCTCCGTTTTTGGAATCTGCAGAAGGTGAAGGACCGTTTCTTAGGATAGATGAACTTAACGATCCAAGACACGCGCCATACAAGTATATGTTTCGTCTGTGCTACCGAATACTCAGGCTTTCTCAACAAGATTACAGAAAGAATCAGGTATCGTGATATTATGCGAAATATAATATAAATTTTATATATTATATTTAATTATTTATTTTGTTAAAATACTACATCGTTGTTCCACAACATATAGGAATACATTGCTAAACATTTTGCGTTTATGCAAAAACAAATCGGCTACGATATACTAGCGGAAGATACCATCACCGCGCTTTTGCACAATAACAGAAAATTGCTGGAGAAACATATAACAGCTGCTGAAATAGAAACGTTTGTGGGTCTTGTCAGAAAAAATATGCGTAACTGGGAGTCGAGATTTTTGGATTATTTGTCGGATTTATGTATATCTAATAAAAAAGCAATAGCTGTGACACAAGAATTAATTTGCAAAAGCGTACTTAGTGAAAAGAATAAGGATATTTTGTTAGAAACAAAGTAAGTATGATAAACATGCGAATGATATCAATCTTATTAATAAACTATAAATTATTTATTTTAGAATGGTGAAGACTCAAGTAGAAGTCGAAGATATTGATGAGAAGCAAGAAAATGCTGAACCAAGAATTACTGTTATAGAAGAATTTGAAGTTGTATTGGAATGGAATAATAGAACCGTTAGTATACTTAATAATAATTTATCGAAATATAATATTATACAAATTAATGTAATGTTTAATGCAGAAATCAATGTCTTTGAGTGAACTATCTAGAGGAGCAAAAATGGGGAATGTTCAAGATGCTGCAATATTAGACTATTATAGACATCAATTAAATCTATTTAGTAATATGTGTTTGAATAGGCAATATCTAGCATTAAATAATCTGTCGCCACATTTGGATATCGATCTTATACTTAAGTAAGTGTTGTGTGCTTATCTTTAATTATGAATTATTTGTAAATTATTCATTACGCATTTCTTTCTTACAGATGTATGGAAGATGAAACAGTGCCATACGAATTACGCGCATCATTTTGCCGACTTATGTTACATCTTCACGTAGATAGAGATCCACAAGAACAAGTAACCCCTGTAAAATATGCTCGTCTTTGGTCTGAAATTCCGTCAAAAATGAGTATAAACGAGTATGTAAATATAAAAAATGCATTAAGTAGGATGAATATGTGAGAGAAGTACTCAAAATTATTTATTTTCTTTAATTGCAGTTATGACACGAATAAAATGCCAGACCATAGTAAAGAGGCTGTTCGTACTAAATTTAGTTCGACAATTATGTTTGTTGAAGATTATCTCTGTAATGTTGTTGCGAAAATGTGGTCTTTTGGAGATCAAGAACAGAATAAGCTTACATTTGAGGTATACAATCTTTTCTTCTTTTTATATATATGTTTTTCTGTTTATCTCTAGATATATAAAATAAATTATATTCAATCGCACACAATTATTCTTATATATTGTTTGCAGGTTGTTAAATTAGCGCGTGATCTAATTTATTTTGGATTCTACAGTTTTAACGATTTATTAAGTTTAACAAAGACGTTGCTTAGTATCTTGGATTGTATATCGGAGAATGAATCTACCGATGGAAAAATACCTACGGGCGATATTGATTGTAAGTTTATGATTTTATTAATTTCATTTTATGAGAGATATATAATCTATGAACTGTTTTATATCTCTTTATTGATTAAATTTCAATGAACCCCATAAGAATATTATTTTGTGGTAGAGTCATTTCAATTCATCTATATATACACATTTCGCGCGCATGGTAGTAGTTTACAGTCGCAATAAAGTTTGATTTATCTCCTTTTTACATTATTATAAAATTATATATATTGATGTATCATTGATATACTAAATTCCCTTTGCTTATTTTCAAATATTTTTTATATACGATCAATTTTTTATATTCTGATTTTAAGTATCGCTTTCGGAAATTTGTATATAACGTTTTCTCATATGAGAGAGATGCTGTAACATATTGATACTATATATATGATCCATGCTTTAGAGGAAAATCCGTTTGAAAATAAAATATATCTTTTACACAATTAAGTTAAATAATTTATAACATGTAGAATGAGAGGTAAATATGTTTGAAACTAATAAATTTACTCTTGTAAATATTTCATCACAGCCGATACAGTGGATCCTGAGGAGGCAGGTAATATCCTATTAGAAAGCTTGTTAAAAGCTAATTAAACTGTGTGTTAATGTGGAATGGATATTAAGAAGATATAGCATGCAATGTATGATGTAGGTCTATAAAGCTTTTTTAGTTGTTTAAATATTCTTTTATTATAATTTCTTTTTAGAAACACATTTTAAGAAATGTAAGCATAAAAATATCAAAGTTTAACATATAATATGTAATACCCTTAATTATTGAATATCTTTATAAGCATTGTGTGCTTTATTTAACAATTTTGAAATGAATTTTTTATCTTTTTCATAGTAAGTAACAAAATAAAAACATAATAAAGACAGAATCATGCTGTTTTATATATTAATTTATACAAAAGAGTATCTTTTAACACGAATTAAATTTGCTTGCTATGCACTATAATTTAACATTGTGACATACGTAAATACAATAAATACATAATATCACATAATATCGTATATGTGCTAAACTATTGTTTTTCATTTATTTATGATCTTAATGTGTATTTTTTTATTTGTTATGGTATGTTCAAATAGCTGAAGGAGGTATTCTTAGATGTATTGGCGACATGGGTGCTGTGATGACAAATTTAACATTAGGACCAGCTGGTCAAGTGCTACCCAGTTCTTCTCCAAGACCAAAGCCACTAATGAAGAAAGAATATCCTTTGGTGATGGATACAAAGCTGAAAATAATCGAAATTTTACAATTTATTCTGGATGTTCGATTGGATTACAGAATCTCATGTCTCTTGAGTATATTTAAACAAGAATTTGACGAGACAGCATCGACAGCTGAGAAGACTGGAGATGTGATTTTAGGACAGAAAACTATTGATTTAGAAGCAATTGGCACACATGCGGAAGGAATATTTGGGAGCAGGTAACATATTGTTGAATGTGATATATGAGAGAGAAAGAGAGAGTTATCTTAGAGAGATTGTACTTTTTTAGCGAAGAATGTGCAGCACTAGATTTAGATGGTCAAGGAGGCAGAACATTTTTACGTGTTCTGCTGCATCTAGCAATGCACGATTATCCTCCGTTAGTTTCCGGAGCCTTACATTTATTATTTAGGCATTTTAGCCAAAGACAAGAAGTTTTACAAGCATTTAAACAGGTGAGATTCTTTTCTAGTATTCTAAAACTTATCAAGAGAAAGATTTTACTTATATTAATGTTTACATAATTAATAGGTGCAACTTCTGGTTTCGGATAGCGACGTAGAATCTTATAAACAAATAAAGGCGGATTTAGATGTTTTACGTCAGTCTGTCGAGAAATCTGAGCTTTGGGTGTATAAATCCAAAGCGACGGAGGAACATGGAAATAAGAAAAAGAAAAGTAAAGAAGAGGAGGATGATGGCATAACTCCTCGTAGACCACCTCTATTATCTCTATCGGATAAACAAGGTTTTTATATATGTCATAAAAATGTCAATTGTTTTATATGAATACTTTTTAAGCGAGATAAAATTAATACAATTGTTTCTTTTAAAGGCTCTGCTATTGATTTGGATATCGGTCCACCGTTGCACGCCGATCAAGCTGAGGAATACAAAAAGATTCAGCAAATTTTAATAAGAATGAACAAATTGTGTATTCAAACTTTGCCGGGCGGTCAAGTGAAGGCGCGCAAACATGAACAGAGACTTTTACGCAATGTCGGAGTACACACTGTCGTTTTGGATCTTCTACAAGTTCCATACGACACCAAAGAAGATATCAGAATGAACGAGTTAATGCGTTTGGCGCATGATTTCCTGCAAAACTTTTGCCTGTCGAATCAACAAAATCAAGTTCTTTTGCATAAGCAATTAGATCTGTTTTTGAATCCTGGCATAAGGGAAGCACAAACAGTATGCAGTATCTTCCAAGATAATTCTATTCTCTGCAATGAAGTCAGTGGAAAGGTCATACAGCATTTTGTACATTGCATAGAAACACATGGAAAACATGTACAATATTTGAAATTTTTGCAAACTATAGTAAAAGCTGAGAATCAGTTTATCCGAAAATGTCAAGAAATGGTGATGCAAGAGGTGAGATATTTTATATACATATAACTTTTATGTGGAATATTTTTCTACTTGTTTTATTTTTATTTTAGTTAGTTCAATCGGGAGAAGATGTCCTAATTTTTTATAATGATAGAGCCTCCTTTAATCATTTTGTGGAAATGATGCGATCTGAAAGACATCGTATGGATGAGAGTAGCCCACTTCAGTAAGTTACTTGGATATAATTCTAATATGAGATATATATATATATATATATATATATATATATATATTGAATGTGATTATTTTCTATTGATTATTTGAATGTCTGACAAGAAGATTTAATACACAGAAAGTATTATATTTTAGGTATCACGTAGAATTAGTAAAACTTCTAGCTTGCTGCACAATGGGTAAGAATGTCAATACTGAGATTAAATGTCACAGTCTTTTGCCTTTAGACGACATCGTTGCTATAGTATCACATCCAGACTGTATACCAGAGGTGAATTTTTTTATCAAATTTTAAAAATGTTTATATTTCATTAAAATATAGTTCTACATATAATATTATATATTGATATATTTTGTATTGTTTATAAATAGGTGAAGGAAGCGTACATCAATTTTCTCAATCATTGTTATATTGATACAGAAGTCGAGATGAAGGAAATTTATACTTCAAATCATATGTGGTCCTTGTTTGAAAAATCTTTTATAGTTGATATGGGTTTAATTGCTTCGTTTACCCACGATCGACAACATGCGGATATAGCCTTAGAGACTTATGTGACGAGTTGTCTAATGAATATTATATCCACATTTTTCAGCAGTCCATTTTCCGATCAAAGCACCACTGTGCAGGTAATGTCTTTATTTGTTGCATTATGAGAACTATCATTATCTTTCATGGTGTATATACACACAAACACATACTTGTCTCTTTTTTTTAATTAATTAATCTACATGTTACATATCTTGTTGATATATTAATTTTTTTCGGTGAATATATATACATTATTTTTGATGGAATAATATTTATAAGATAATTGTTTAACACCAAATTAAATATAAATTTATTCATATTGGGAGAAATTTGGGATTCATGCTTCCTTAACTTCAAAATTAATGAGGTTTATGTGGTGTTGTTTCTGCACTTAAAATTTCTTGATGGAAATTTTCTTGCACAAGTTTTATTCATAAAAATGAATTAATTTAATTATTTCAATGATATACAATTTTTCATAGAAGAATATGCATAAAAGATATGCTTGCAGTTAATATATTCAGTCAATGTTACACATATTTAGAGAATACTTCATATTTAATTTGCGAATTTTTATTATAATTATTAAGAATATAATTGTATATAAAAAATTTTTTATTCTAAAATTTTTCATTGCGAAATCAAAATTTATCAAAATTAATATTCAATAAAAGATAGAGCATAGATTTTGTATAATATAAAAGCTTATGTTTCTAATTAATGTATGAATAACATAAGAATAAAATCAATATATAATAAAGCATTAGATAAAATGTGAAATAAAATATTTTTATAATTCTAATTATAATAAATATGCAAAATAATTGACATTCATTTGTTTAATAATCTCTCGCTTTGCATGTAAACACATTAAATTAAGCTCACTTATTAACTAAGTACACATTACACACATACATATACATATAGGAAAAAAGAGAGCAATAGGCAGTATGATTGATATCAATTATTAGTAATCATATACTGTGTATGATGTGTGCTTGGTCATTGCTAATTGCATCAGTGGCATGTTCTGTGTTTTTGGCATGCAACACCTCCTGGTCTTCTTTGATTCAACAACATTGGTTTATTGGGTCTATGGGTGCTATCGGTCTATATGGTGGTGGGTTGGTTTACTAATAGAAACATCTGCACGAGGCTAGACTGTATTGGAACATCAAGGAGTGCGATCGGAATACAGATAATAATCTTTCTGGCTATGTGAGTATTGAATGCTAGGTTCTTCTCTTAAGGGGGCAGTTGCTAGATTATATAACAAAACTCTATCTATGTATCTTTATGTTCCATTTTTTCAATATCGAATAATATATCATGGATAAATTTTTTCACTTTTTTCTTATATGTTTTCTTATATGACTATATTTTGATTTTTTTCTGCTGAGCTTTTCCTGAATTATAATTATAGTTTTAAATAAAATTAATTTTCAACAATTTTGATAACTTCATCATATTTGTAATTAATGATAAAATTATAATTAATGACAAAATTACAATTTTTTTAAACCAAATGGTCATGAAGTATAGTTTTTTATTTTTAAATAAAGAAAAAAAATAACAGAATAATAGTGTCTCCAAGAAAAAGATATTTAAAAATCGAAAATTATGATTTTATAGGAGAGGAAAAGTTATTTCTAAAATTGTAACGTTAGTTTTATATGTTTAGCATCTTTTTGGAGATATTTAGAAATATTCAAAAATTATTTTTTATAGCATTCAACATGTTTCAGGAAATGATATATTTTTTATCAAAAAATAGAAATTGATATTTTAATCATTTTCAAATGCATTTGTTATCTTAATTTTGAGTATATATATATGTCTGCATTATAATGTCATAAAATTACATATAATATTTACAAAATTATTTTTTGGAATTGAGAAAGTGACTTATATAATCTAACTGTATATAATAAGAATTTGTTTTCAAGGCAGAAGAAAGAATATAAGAATATTAAATTATTCACAAATTATATATTTATGATGTTGGCTATTATAGAAAGCTTTAGCAGCACAAAATAACTGATGTTGTAAATACAAACTGCATTTTCTTCTTTATATGTACCGTATATGTCTTTGCATATAATTAACACATTCATTGTCATTGTTGAATGCAATCATTTTTGTAAACTACATATTTTGTTGTTATTATTAATTATGACTATTATATACCTACCTTATTCTTAAAATATGTTATCTCATTCTATCTATATGTTTTCTAAATTCTTCTAATTTATAAAGAAAAATTTACAATTTATATATGGCATGTAATATCTTTCTATTCTGTCTATAAACTGTTTGGCAGTGAATGTGTTATACTTTACGCAAGACGTTTTTAATGTAAAAGTATAATATAATAATAATTATTAAATGTAAATAAGAAGTATAACAAAAAATAGAATATATAATGGCAATTTAAATTTGCTAAATATGAAAATAATTATAATATAACGAGATGTTTAATAATTTAAAATAATATAATTGTCTCATAAAGAATACTGTTTAATATTAAAAAATAAGAATTGATACTATTGGTTTGATATCATGTTTCTGTATAATTTAAAAATATGATTTATTATATTTAAAAAAAGCTTTTATATATATATATATATATATATATATATATATATAAGCTTTTTATATAAGTAATCCAATAATATAATTCTTTTTTATTTTGCTATTATAATACGGACAATTTTAATACATTTTCGCATTTATTTTTCATGGAATAGACAAGGCAACCTATATTTGTTCAATTGCTTCATGCGGCTTTTAAAGTTTCACAATGCGCATGGTTAAACGCTGGACAAAGATTTAATGTTGAGAATTGTATACGAACATTATCGGATGTAGGTGAGTAATATCTTTTGTAAAATATCACTCTTTAAGAATAATGCCTATTTTTATGTAAATAATATAAATAATGTTGTTTTTCTTAGCTAAAGGAAGAGGCATCGCTATACCGACTGATCTAGAAAGCCAAGTAGCTTCTATGTTTAACAAAGCAGCTATGCTTAGTAGACAGACCAGCAAATGGTTACAAGCTGCTAAACAACCAAAGATCGAGCGTAGTCAAAGTCAGGTAATTTGTAATTTAGTTCTCATTATGGAATAAATTAGAATAATTGAATATCGTTTACGTTCCATGAAAGAGCAATTATGTAATAAATTTACTTAAATGTATAGAGTGACTTACTTTGTATGGAAGGCTCTGACAACGAGGTAAAGGTCACTCACGGAAGCGTAGCATTTTGTTAGTTTAGAGATGCAATATGTAGTGTGCGATTGCTAATATTAGTATACTAGCTATTATATATAGAGATTTACATATTGGGCTTCATATATTTGAAGATATTAATTATCACTGTTTCATAGCTACATATGTATATATATACAAAATATATAATCATAATTACATCTAAATAATATATCTAAATAATATTATAAAATAATTTATTTAATATTTCATTAGTAATTATAAGTAGGAAAGTAAATATTTTAATGTGTAACAGTATTGAATATTAGATATATCATGGGATATATAGACATTTTATATTGTGAGATTGTGTTATTTAAATTTTCGAATCGTAAATCGATTTATTCCGTAGTGTAGATTGTACAAAAATTTTGTATGTGCAAGATAATTTGATTATTTAAAGAAATAGTAATGGTCTAATTTACTGACACCACATATGTTTTTGTTTAGCTTATGCGTTTAGATCGAAGCATTATCGAAGGTCTCCAGGATATAGTATGTCTGTTAGAGGAACAATTGAAACCATTAGTACAATCCGAATTGTCTTTATTAGTGGATATTCTCTATCGACCTGAATTATTGTTTCCTGCAGCAACTGATGCCAGAAAAAGATGCGAAAATGGTGGCTTTATCAAAAGGTACAATTTTTAATTATAATAATAACTCAATATTAACGCATAGTATAATACATAAATATATTTATGCATTTTTGCTTTGCAGATTAATTAAACATACTGAAAAGTTATTAGAAGAAACGGAAGAAAAATTATGTGTCAAGGTCTTAAGGACACTTCGTGAAATGATGGCTATTGATCCCGAGTACGGAGAAAAGGTGAGCGTCATATAATCGTGTTTTGCATGCAGTTATATGATCATTTATCATACTAAGGAAGGTAACACAGCATCGCGAAAAAGGGCATTCAGTTCAATATATAGATAGATTTAAGAGAATTGCTTAAATAATACAAGAATATCTCGGGATATAAGCGCATTGTTCCGAAAAGGTGATTCGAGTATTTATAAAGTTGAAAAATTTCTTACTTTGTATTAAGTAATGCTTGGCTAAACTTAGCGTCGCGTCTTCTCATAATGAAGCTGAATGCCTGAGCGCTCATAAGCACATTAGACGATTAAATATTTATTACGCGATTAAATATTTATTTGGCTTGTCGCATAATTACAAAAGAATAATATAAAAGTTAATAAGATTTCTCAATATACGCCACGCAAAGTCTTAGCGGTGGGTGAGTAGATCTGGTAGAATAGATATGTAGGTAAAGATGTTTTCATGCTGCGAATGAAGAACGAAGGTATCTCGGAAGAGAAGGAGTCTGAAACGAAGAGCGAGTTACAAGTTGGAACAGATTCCAATGATCAGTCTGAGAATGATCGACAAATGACTCAGCAAGAGCCGGTAAAAATTAAAGTAGATAGAAAAAAGTGGGCACAACGTATATGAAACAAAATTATTTTATGCTGAAAAGAAAGATTGATGATATCGCGTGATGTAATTTAGGACGCGCGGATAAAGAATACTTCTAACACCACTACGACATATTGCATACATTTTTAAAAATAAGAAAAGAGTCATTGCAAGTAACTCACCAGAAAAAAAAGAAGAATCTAATTTACTTATTTTAAACACTTCTCTTTGACTTGCAAATCATAACAAATCTCATAATTTATCTTCCATCTTATAGAGCTAACGAAATGATAAACATATGTTGCTAATTGTAATTGATTAATTGTGTGATTAAGTTGTTGACTAAATGATTGTTCATTATATGTTATACATACACATCAAGTCGTATATGGTGTGGTAAAATTTCGTAAAGTAGAGGATATAATGTACGTTGTGTAGATCTTTCATGCATGTCGCTTAATTTATGCACGTTTATTTATCTCCATTTCTTATGATATATATCCATTTCTTACTATCATTTTTCATCTTGTTTACAATACTTTGCATTTAATATAAGATATTCTAATATATATATTAGAATATCTTATAGAATATATATATATATATATATATATATATATATATATATATACATACATAAAATACACAATGTATATAAAAATTATCTAATCTTATATGTGAAAGTAATTTTGATTCACGGTATAAAATAATAAACAATTAAAAAAATGTATAATTATTATGACTATAGTACTGTTGAACATATAGTACTGTTTATATTCTTATAAAAGATTTGCAATATATATTATTTCATCACAAATTTACCGTGTATCGAAGATTTTTTTACTTTACATCTGAAAATATTATTTCTATTTTGTTTAATCAAATTTAAACTAGTTTGTTTATATAAAGAGAATATATGTATTATATATATATATCTCTCTTAATATTATTATATAAAAATACAAATATAATTAAAAGCTTTTATATATAGAGATAGATTTAAATGTATATAAATTATATAGTAAGAGATGTACCAATACAATATATATAATAGATTTTAACATTCTAATGATTACACATTGACTTTCTATAATGATATAATTATTTTTACTTATATATATATATCTTATATATTTTACTTTTAATTATCCTAGATCGGAATTATATAAATGTGATATTTTGTGTGAATTTTATTTTCCTTAATTTTTCCTTATTCTCTCCAATAACATGAATGTTAGATAGTTTATATTCAATCGATATATTGAACACTTTAATTAGAAGTATATCGGCATCTTATTAATATATTAAAATATAATCGTATGTATAATATCCAAAATATGTATGCTACTATTATTCTCCTTTGCGTGCTTTTACCTAAGGATATTTTGATCTATAAATATAATCTCTTACACACCTATATAAATGTCTCTCACACACATATATAAATTATCTCACACAAATTAAACTTTTATTAAAATCTCCGATTTTGTATGATCTTCATCAATTGTTAATGTACAAATATATGAATGTTGTTTGCAATACGCATTAACTTCATTTTTATCTTCTCTCATATGTTGCACTTTAATTATCATATATTTTGTCTCGGGCTGTATAAATTTTACATGAATAATATAATGAGATTTCCTACACGCATCCTAAATTGCACAAGTATTTCTTACACTTTTAAGCACATAAAGCATAAAGCACCGATTATGTAAATATACGATTTAAATTTATACATATTTTATATTTATGATAGAATATGTTTGTGAATATACAAAGAGAATATTTGTAACGTTGTACTAGACCTTTCTTTTTTATTAATGTTGTGCACTATGTATTGGTACATCATTCTGATTTTGAACACATAATAGAATGCTGACATAAAGTACTATTTTTTTCCCCAGGGAGATGTATTGAGAAATAATCTTCTGACGCGTTACTTCGGCAAAGGTTTTATACAGAAACCGGAAAATATTGATATTGGAGTATCCCGTAGTGCGACTATCACCCATGGTCCAGGAGGTAAAGTCATAAGACATAATTAGTTTTATTTATTTATTTTTTTAATATCTTTCTGTCGAAAATAAGAAGAGAATTGTTATTTACAGCGAAAATATTAAGTCGAGCTGGTAGAACATTACACGAAGTGCAAACCCATCTTGATCGCGAAGGAGCTTCAGATTTAGTGGTAGAATTGGTGATTAAGAGTGTACATTCTCCGAGCATATTCGTAGAAGCTGTAGAATTGGGTATTGCATTATTGGAGGGTGGAAATCCCATCATACAAAAGAGTATGTTCAATAAACTAATGGGAGGCGATTTGAGCCAATCGTTTTTCAAGGTAATTTTTCATATTCTGTCAATGTATAATATACAACAACATTCTTATTATATTATCTTTTGCACAGGTGTTTTATGATAAAATGAAAGATGCTCAGCAAGAGATTAAATCTACCGTAACGGTAAATACATCCGATATGGCGGCTAAAGCACATGAGGATAAAGAGGGTAAAGAGATAGATAAGATATCCCGAAAACCTGAATTAGGTAAAAGATAAAATAAATTAGTGTCGCTACGCTGAATGCTATTATGAATCTATCTATTTAATTTTTACTTCATGCATTAACTTAAGCATATGTATAAGTGTATACATTAATTACACATAATAGATATCTTAGATATGCGTTTATATATAGGGAAGCCCAATGGAATGGTAATAACTGACGAGGTTCGTGAAGAATTAAATCAAGTGTCCAATGCACAGGTGTATGCAAACATGCAAAATGGTCTTGCGCCTGGCGAAGACATGGCAAATAATGCGTTAGAAGATATAAGTGAAAAATTAGATAGGAATAAAAGTAGTGCGCCTGAGGTCGACGAGGGTCAATTGAGCCCTAAAGTTTTAGTGATGCAACCAATTCTGCGTTTCTTGCAACTACTTTGCGAGAATCACAATAGAGAATTACAGGTACTATTATCTATCTGGAATTTGTATTTTTGCTGCGGTACATTCTGATATAAATAAAACATTTTTTATTGTTTTAACATATAGAATTTCCTACGGAATCAAAATAATAAAACAAATTTCAATCTGGTATCTGAGACACTCATGTTTTTGGACTGCATCTGCGGCTCTACTACCGGTGGATTAGGTCTCCTCGGTCTGTACATCAATGAATACAATGTAGCGTTGATTAATCAAACTTTGGAAACGTTGACAGAATACTGTCAGGGACCATGCCACGATAATCAAAATTGTATTGCCACACATGAGTCCAATGGTTTAGATATTATAACAGCATTGATACTGAACGATATAAATCCTCTAGAAAAGACCAGAATGGATCTGGTGCTGGAATTAAAAAATAATGCCAGTAAATTATTGTTGGCGATTATGGAAAGCAGAGGCGACAGCGAGAACGCCGAAAGAATCATGTACAATATGAACCCGAAACAGCTTGTAGATGTGGCGTGCAAAGCTTTCCATCAGGAATTGTTAGATGATAATAGTGACGTTGATGATTCCTCGACAAATGAAGAAGAAGGAGTGTCTCCTAAAGAAGTAGGGATATATAACACAAATACTTTATTGATTTATTTTTATAATTATTTTATAATTGCTTTATCTATTTTAATTAAACATGCATTTTTCTTTAGGTTGGGCACAATATCTACATCTTGTGTCATCAATTAGCGCAACACAATAAGGAATTGGCAGTAATATTGAAACCATCAGAGCAGAACAATGCAGATCCAAAAATTAATAAAGCATTGCAGTACTATGCATCTCATACAGCTCAAATAGAGGTACTGTAGTTCTTGTGTAAATATAAAAATAGTTTTTTTTTGAGAGAATAGTTTTTTCACAAAGAGAGAGAGAATGCTATTATATAATATATTTTACCAATAAAATATTTTTATGTTTCAGATTGTGAGACACGACAGAACGCTCGAGCAAATTGTCTTTCCGATTCCGGAGATCTGCGAACTTATAACTGTCGATACAAAAATAAAAGTATTAAATACTACAGACCGAGATGACCAAGGATCGAAAGTTTCCGATTTCTTTGAGAGGACAGAAGACATGTTTAATGAGATGAAATGGCAAAAGAAACTTAGAGGCATGTTTATTGATTAAACAAAATAGGATACTAAATTGAAATTTCTAATAATAAATTAATTGTAATTTATAGGGCAATCAATGTTATTCTGGATGAGCAGTTATATGTCATTATGGAGTAATATTTTATTCAATTGCGCCGTTCTTATAAATCTTATCGTAGCCTTTTTTTATCCATTTGTGGATTCTGTGCCTAGTGAGTTTCAATTAACACACATACATATAAAAGAGAATTGAATTTCTTAAATTGTCTTGATATATAACATGTAATACAATGATATATAACATGTAATTTTTTATTTTTTATTTATAGAACTCAGTTATCATTTGTCAGCTTTAATTTGGACAGTTATGCTCGCATCTGCTGCTATCGTTATTACCTTGCCGAGAGAATCCGGTATACGTACATTAGTTGCATCAACGATATTGCGATTGATTTTCTCTGTAGGTCCAGAACCAACGTTATGGTTGCTCGGTTTTGTTACGGTAAAAAAATATGATAAAACTATGTGTATATAAATATATTACGATTTTAAATATATATTACATGTATTGTATTGCAGATTTTATTAAAAGTTGTACATCTTATAAGTATTATAGGTAATCAGGGTACCCTGACTAAAAGTATAGAGCAAATAATAACTAATATCGAACTTTTATATCATGTATTGTATTTAATATTCTGTGTTCTGGGAATTTTTATGCATCCGTTTTTCTATTCAGTTTTAGTAAGTGATAAATTATTTTTACACTCTTTTTACAAATATATACAAAATTATAATATTTGTCATTTATTTCAGCTCTTTGATGTGGTTTATCGCGAGGAGACTTTGCTCAATGTAATAAAATCTGTAACTCGAAATGGAAGATCTATCATACTCACGGCTGTGTTAGCCTTGATTTTAGTTTATATGTTTTCCATTATTGGTTTTATGTTCTTTAAAGATGATTTTCTTGTTCCTGTGGAGGAGGAAGTTATATGTGAGTTTAACTGTTTGATATTACATATAAATTTATATAGATATTTTTAATTTTACAAATAAAATGACTCAAAATTTATATAATTTGTAGCTTCTATTGAGCAAAAAATTGCAGATACTTGTAGTATTGGTGATAAGGAAAAATGCGAAGCAACGGAAACTATATCACAATATGCTCGTGAAGGTAGATATATTGCAATGATATAATTTAAATAATGTAATTATTTTACTTGAATATAAAATAATATTTATTCTGAAATAAATTTTTTAAATAATTCAGCAAACCAACAAGAAAATAAAGCTGAAGTGATTAACATCGGTGGAGAATTGAAGGAACGAGCTTGTGATTCACTCGTTATGTGTATCGTTACTACATTAAATCAAGGGCTGAGGAATGGTGGTGGAATTGGAGATATTCTACGAGCACCATCCAGCATTGTAAGTAAGAGAAAGGGAAATTATAAAAATAATTATATAAATTATTTTATACTCAAAAACTTTATTATCTTTCAGGAACCTTTGTTTGTTGCAAGAGTTGTATATGACTTACTATTCTTCTTCATTGTAATAATTATCGTTTTGAATCTCATCTTTGGTGTGATTATTGATACATTTGCAGATCTTAGATCAGAGAAACAACAGAAGGAATTGATTTTGAAAAATACGTGTTTCATTTGTGGCAAGTATTTATTTTATGTATTGTGTGCTTTATATTTTCTCTTCATATTTTTAATTTTCATATACCATAGGATATATTTTATAATTTTATATATGTATTTTTTTATAGGTTTGAATAGATCAGCTTTCGATAATAAAACAGTTTCTTTTGAAGAACATATAAAGCATGAGCATAACATGTGGCATTACCTCTACTTTATTGTCTTGGTGAAGGTGAAAGATCCGACAGAATTCACAGGCCCAGAATCATATGTTTACGCTATGGTTAAGGTAATAGTTCATAGAGCTTGAAAAATTTGGGCGATGCTTATGTCTTTAAGCTCTATGTACTTTCACAGGATCGAAATTTGGAATGGTTCCCGAGATTGCGGGCCAAGTCATTGGCGGCAGATGAAGGTGAAGGTGAGCAAGTGGAATTAAGAAGTTTACAGTCGCAATTAGAATCCACGCAGCTGTTAGTTAAATGTTTATCACAACAACTCATGGAACTTCGTGATCAGGTATGTCAAGAGAATGTCCTTTAAATTTTACTTCAAAAGCTATTCTTCAAGTTAGAAAAAATACTCAAGGAATATTCAAATACAAATCGTATTTTTTTTATTTTAAAAGATGACGGAGCAACGAAAGCAAAAGCAGCGACTGGGGCTTCTGAATTCTGCTTCTGCAGTCTTACATAATGTATCCACGTAAACTTAAGATGTATTTGTAGTTTCCGTATTATTCCGGACGAATCTCAGTTTGATACTCCAAGATAATATATATGTAGCGATATTCATGTGTTCTTAACAGGCATTTAAAGACACGAGAATGTATCGAGTGGGTAACCCGAGGCATTTTTACGGTTTTGTTCCTAATTTTAATGAAAGTAAAATATACCTAGGGCATTAAACATTATCATTCTCCTCTTTATCATATAGGTTCTCGACCTGGTTTATCGATTAGCCATCAAGGAATTTGTACCATAAATTGCATTGTTTACCTATGTATAAATATTGTTACATAAATAGAAGAATTAAGCGTATCCATTAAAAGATAGTAAATATAGTACATATAAATCATTTAAAACTTCCAATTACTAAAATATTGTAAGGCAATATTCTAATGTGTTAGAATATTCTTCTTTTTTATGTGATCAATCATTGTTTTAGTTAATGTATCCATACATATGGATACATTAAATAAAGATTGTAGTATTTTACAACGGTTACGAATTTATATATATATATATATATATATATATATATATATATATATATCTGTTTTATGTTATTAAAGTCATAATTGTATTTATGCAGTTTCTTTTAAATTATAAAGATTTTTTAAAACAAAATATATAATTATATAAAATGTATTTATAAATACATTTGTAAAATTTTATGTACAGATATAAATTCTGTATTATATATATATTTAATTTGTATGTATATGTGTATGTATATGCATGTATGTATGTATATATATACACATTTATCTATTCATTTGGGAATAATTTTTTCATTCTTGATATTATATTCTTTCTAATATATATATACATAATCGATTTCTTACTTCATATATGTAAATAAAATAACATGTGAAATTGTTTAAAACATATCTTAGCAATGTTTAATTTTATAATAACAATACATGCTCAAAAATTTCAGTTCTATAAAAGTTATTAAAATTTATATTGTAAAATATTGAAATTTATATTGTAAAATATGTGTTATACATAATATTATATTAATGATAATTTACAATACGATCAGAAAATGAGTAAATTAAAATTTGTATCTGCGAATCAGGTGATATTGTTTGTTTAATTATTTGTGAAGATAATTGTGATCGATATTATTAATATAATTATTGAAAGCACGGTAATTAATAGGGATCAATTGACTGTATCACAATACGTGTAAGAAAAATTTTTTGAAATTTTAGATATTCTAAAAATGGACGAGTTTCAAAATGTTGATGTCCAATCATTCATTGTTAATGTAAAAGAATGATAGTTGATGCATCGTAAATTTTAATCAAGTTATGTTATATGTTACAATATAAGTACATGACACCTGAACGTTATATGTTATAAGAGATTTAACTCATGTCTTTAAAATCATTTTTGAGATTTTTGTGTCTATATATACAGATATATATATACTTTATATTTCTTTTTAATATAATGTGGAAAAAATATGACGTAATGTATATATTTTATTAGATCTTAAAATTATCTAGAGATAAAATGATGTCGTTTAAATATAGATCATATTTCTTATCCTATTATAATTATATCAGTCTTCTTATATTTTCTTGTTTTATGTCAGATAGATATTGTACTGTTAAATCTTTAAATGAATTCAAATAATATCTATTGAAATATGTTTCTTCCAATATCTGTTACTTCTAATATCGTGCGATCTTATTATATACTATACATATATAGCTACATTATGGATGTAGATTGCGTTCTTACTTACATGTGTGAATAAATTATTTTTTTTCTTAATGAAGCGATTTATTGCATATTCTTATATTAATAATATATGTGTCATAATTTTCCATATCGTCATACATATTATAGAATAATTTGAAAAATTTGAAAATGATTAAGAAAATAAAACAATTATTTTTCTAACATGCTCTCTTTAAGATTGTTATTAAATTTTAACGAAAATTCAAAATTAGAAATATATATTTCTAATTTTGAATTTAACAAAATTAGAAATATATATTATTGATAATTGCTTATATATAGATATTAATAGATTTTTAAAATTATTAATTGGTTTTTTTATATGAGGGAATACAGTCAAAAAGCGATTAAGAAGCGTTTATTTTTTCCGAAAAACATTTAGAGCTGAACATCAATCATTAATTTTCCTGTTTTTTTTTATAATTTCGCGCCACTTTCTTGCGTTACTTTCCCGCCAATCAACAAGTTTCTTCCTAACGTCTTTCCGGAGTCGGTAGCGAAACGTTGTGAGTGCGGGACAGATCGATCCTAAATCGTGATTTAATTGTAAATTATAATTGAATTATATTTTAATAATTTCTGATTGTATAGGATGATTGCATAGATTTGACGTTGCTGACGTATCACTCTATGCGCGGTTACATTGTTATCATTCTCATTCAGCAAACGTAAGCAGCGATGTAATGTTTCATATTACGCATTAATTTTCGAGGCGCGATTGCGAGAAATATCACGAAATCATTCTCCGGCAGGTGATTAGTGAATATTATTTCGCATAAATATATTATATTTGACTTGTATGATTAAATAACTCGTATATCAAAGCGATTTTTCAAACAAATATAAAATATTTCGCGCATTTTATTCGTATTAAATATCGATATATTGTTTCAAGCAAATATGTCGTTCTGTATTCGGTAACGAATTTGAATAAATCATAATTGGAATCATATTTTATAATTAATATATATATTAATAGTTTCTGACTGCGTAGGATATAAATATGGTATATATATAATTATCTATGTTTTGTTTAAATTTGTGTTGTTGGCGCGTAAAGGAGGTTAGTCTAGAGATACTGCGAGCTTCGCGCGCTTTTCCGGCGTTATCCCACCATAATCAAGTGCGCGTCACCTGTCATTATTAAAGTCGGAAGTGCTGTGCAAAGTGCCGCGTGCTCGTTAATTGTATTTGGGTGTGATTAGTGCGCGCGTAATCATAATTAATTGCTTTTGCAAGCACGCGTTTAATTGTAATTAATTTTCGCCAGGAAGGAGCGACAATGATGAAATAAGAGAGAAGGAGCAGGCTTGGGATGACATCAAGTGAGAAGTGAGTAATTATTTATTTATTATATATATAATTAAATAAAAAAAAGTAATATGAATAATTTATTATAAATAATTTAATAAAAATTTACACTTTAATACGCATCTATAAAATACATAAATATATATATTTAATTTAAATTATAAATATTTATAATATGCGCGTCATAATTATTTTTCGAATTATTAAATATTGTCTGGATACACACACATGTTTCAATTTATATTAAATACATATATTTATGTATTTTATAGATGCGTATTAAAGTGTAAATCCGTTGCATGAAACCAATTAAATCATTTAAACTATTTCCTATTTTATTTATGAAATAATGGATTTGTGAAAATTTTATCTAATGTGTATATAAAATGTATCTATAAGATAATGAATATTGGAAACGAACTAAACAATTTAAAATATTTTCCTAATAATTATTATATTATGATATACAAATTTGCAATGATAATAAATGCATTAGTGAAATCTTATTAATTATTTGTTTCTATAAATTATTTGATATATATTAAAAGCCATTATTTATCTTAAAATTTTAAAATTAAAAAATAAAAATTATATTTAAAAATTATAAAAGTTTAAGAATATAGAAATATTATTGATATATATGCTTCACAAATTCATTATGCCTTAAAATGGAGACTAGGATAAATTGGGCCAAATATTTAATAGAATATAAGTAATTATCTGTCAATGTGTGTATAAATATATGCTATATAAATAATTGCTATACAAATAATATGCTATACAAATAATTAATAACTTGGATATTATTTTTATTTTCATGTTTTTATTTTCATTTTTATATGTATTATTGATTAGTTTGAGCAGGTGATTTACTCTAAAAAAATATTTCTACAATTTGAGTTTGATCGATATAAAGTGATAATAAAATAATTGTTAGAGAGAGAGAGAGAGAGAGAGAGAAAATTATTTTTTTTATTTAATTATTTTTATGTAAAAATGCATAAAAATTTGAAGAAATAAAAATATTAAATTTTTTATTCACATTTGTTATGAAGATTGGAGTAAAATAAAGATTGGAATAAGAAAATTTATATATTTAAGTGAAATAAAAAAGTAAGTTAATATTTATAAAATACTCTCTCTTACTATAGGGAATAATGTTGAGTTACTTAGCTTTGTTGTTTTGTTCCCTTTTCGTTATTTTTCTTTTTAAATATTTTTTTCGATAATATATAAATCTGTGTTTTTAGAAATCTGTACCTCTTTATTTATTTTTATTTTTTTAAGATTAAATATTACATAAAAAAACACAAATTAATGCATACAAAAGAACAATATATTAGAAAATCTTTAATGCGTATGTCGTGAACACAAATAAAATAGAAAAACTGGAAAATCTACAATCATATTCGGAATATATTCGGAATAATTCATTTGAATACCGTTAACCATTAATGATTATTTTCTAATTTTAATAATGTGCTATTTATATTCCAATTTTTCATAATCTATTCATTCACATACACATATTTATTGATAATTTTATATTATATGAAACACACATGGAATAAAATAACATGTGAACAAATATATATTTAATTAAATGCATTAAATTGTACCTATATTTAATTGCGAAGTAGACAAATTTTCTACATGAAGTAATGTGGAAATACGATTTTATAAGATAAAATTTTATTAGATTTATAATATAAATTATTTATAAATTAATAATTTATAAATTAAAATAATGTTTTACGACAATTTATGATATCTTTTTGCAGATTATTTCAATTTCATATACATTGCAATGAATCTTTTTTAATAATATATCAAATAACGAAGTATTGCATTTTTACGTAGACACTTTATTTTGCTCACTTTTCATTCTTAAAATGATAAATATGATGTTTTTTTTAAAGATATGTTATATTTATATGTAATGATATGTTTGCACTTTTGTGCATCCATTTTTATTTTTGATTTTGCGATTTATTAAATGATATACGAGACATAATGATGACGTAAGAAAAAAATGGCGTGCGTGCAACACGCATTTTATAATAATCTAATTTCTAGTAAAGGTGATTAAGCTGCTTGCCATTTCAAGAATAAAACTTTATTTTGAAACGAGATCAAGTAATAAATAGGCTTAAGTTAAACAAAAGGACAAGTTAGTGTTTCATTTCACTTTATTTAGACTTTATATGAAACAATTGACTATTTATTGTGACTTATATATACGTGGCTAGTACATGTACATGTAACACGTATTTTTCTTTCATTAGGTCGCACGTGTTTTGTGTAAAATTGGTATACTTTCCAAATAAAAGGCCAGCTATTGTATAAATGCATAATAATGATGTCGAACGTAATTTCTACAAATATATAAATATTGAACATAGAAGCGCATAGCACTTGTCATATTTCTCTTTGAAAAATTAATTCTGTAACATATTTCTCACACATCTACGTTTTTTTATATTAAATTACATTGCTGTGCGTCGATTTCGATTTCATTGCATCACTCGCGATAATTAAATAGATAACGACTTTCATATCTGGTTTGACGAGGTTCTCGGCGAATATAATATCGCTTTACCTTATAAATTACATATACACAACACAACATATTAATATAAGTGCCTTTTTCTGTGTATCGCTAATAATGCGAATTTAATAACAATGTTTATAAAAATAATTTGATGTATTATATAATAAATACGGTCCAAAATATATGATAAATAAAATCCTCAAGTAAAACTTCTATAATATAATGATTATAATGTATAATCATTTTTTCAAGTTAATTAATTAATTTTCTCAATATCTATTTTGAAAATGCAAATGTTCTTTCTTTGGTTATAGAGAAAACGTAAGAATTTAAATAATGTTTTTATAAATTACATTCTAAGCATAAAATATAAAAAATAAAGATACGAATTATAAATTTCAAGAAAAAATTGAACGAAGGAATGATCGCGAAAAATATAATTTTGATATTACAGCAAATATATATCCGTATTTTTAAAATGAGATCAGAGATATATATTTAATATAATATAATATTTAATATATATATTTAATAATATATATTTATTAATAATATTAATAATATTAATAATATATATTAATAATATATATTTAATAATATAATATAATATTTAATATAAGATAAAAAATAATAAAATAAAATGTGTCGATGCAACAAAATAACGCATGAATTCCTTTTTACATTAAAATACATTCGATATAAAGACTCTTTCAGAGCAAGTGCATAAAGATGACTAGTGTTATTATACTTAGGCCAACACACGTTGCATTATCTTAATTAGCCGTAGAAAGAAAAAACGCGATGAGATCTCATAGGTTCATTTTATAAAATCAATGGAAAATTGTAGAAACATTCTCGCATTGTTGTACAGCTGGTTAGGGGTACGCGATTCGTTCTACCGGCTGGCATTAGCAAATACGTACATTAAGTATTTACGACCTCTAACATTATTTCCACTTCTTCGGTAATAATCAATCAATCGCGTGCTTGCTCTAACGGATCGACTATTTCCGTAAGATATTCGGACAGTGAATTTGTTCTTGGTGTGACTGCTCGATTCGCGATTCCTCGAAAAAAGAATCAGATTGATAATTATCGATACGCCATCGTGGTGATAAGGGCATTCCGTTCGATCGACAAACCGTATAACAATAAATCGCTAAGTGTCTTGGGCACACGCGAAATTCATTCGTTAAAATACACTCTCTCTTCGTTCATTCTCATTCCCGCAGAGCCGCGTAAGATTAATTGTCTTATCGTTACTTTACAGTAATTCGCAGATTTAGGGTAGACACAATTAATCGTGTGTTCTGTACAAATTCTATTAACGCCACTACCTATGTACACAGGTCGCTACATGGTTGTAATCTCTTACACGTGTAATTTGGCATTCGCCTGAAAGAGAGAGGGGTGACTCGTGTGTGATTCTCGCTATTTCAAATCCGTGCATCGCGTTCTTGCATGTTAATCTTCTTATATGTATAATATATACACAAGGCTATTCTTCTGGCCTTAATACACTTAAATAAAAACTCGGAAATCGTGAAAATCATAGTAAAAAATTGCACTACTTACTATATTTTCAGAAATAATTACATGAATCGCAATTATACTGTACTAGTTTATTTAGCAACTATCGATTTGTAAAAAAATTTTAGAAAATAGAAAATGTGAAGTAAACGGGTTCTAAAATACTAAAGCATAACATTTATATATTGATAAAGTTCTCAAATTCTAATTAATAAAATTGAAATCAATATCATTATTTATTTACGCGTAGAATAAAAATGTTTAAACTAATTGGGTGAGGAATAATGATCTAAAAGGCTTCATAGAACCATCTCCTTCGATTCGAGTGACAATCGGTTGTGCAAGCTAATCGCTTGTCACAAACTGATCATCACTCTATCTAAGTACGCGCATGTATGAATGTGTATAATATATATGTATATCTATATGTATATGTACGATTCGATCGAGAAAAACGGCAAATTGACTCGTTAACTCTCTATCGTACCGTAAAAAATTCGTATGTGGAGTGAAAAATATAGCACAGATCAGTTAAAATTTCTTTCCTCGGAATTGTTCGTCGCGTGTACAGTGCGATATCCTTTCTGCATTTAAAATATTTCTTTCGCAAAAATTATGCAGTCAGGAATTAACGAGCCAACCGGCGAAAATCTCGATTCTTGATCAATGCACCATGTGCTGTCCACTTTAAAACCATCTTACAAATCGAGCGACGTAAAACGAGGATTTCGACGTGAGTCCTCACAAATTTATGTACATGTGACGCTATAACGTAGGCTCGTTCGAACAGGAACAGGTATATAGACGTGATTTTTTATCTCGAGTTTACAGTCTCAACAATCAAACGAGCATGCGAATAAAATCGTGAACATGACGAAAATGAGAAAAGTCATTTCTCTCGGTTCAGCTTTACTCGAGAAATTCGCGTGCCAGTTCGGTGGTGGCGATGGTCCGCTTTTGCGAGTATTGGCGATCACCGTCTGACTTCGCCATCTCATCGTGTATTGGGGCGCAGTTCTACCAAGAGCGTGCAATCTGAAAAGCATAGTTATTTTGTTGTATTTCCGTTTTTTCAAAAACAGATACTCTTTGCTTATTTTATATATATATATATATATATATATATATATATATATATTTTATATATATTTAAATTAATATTATGCAATTTACCTAGAATTAATTATTTTCGATATATATATACATATAAAGAGATTGACTAACAATAAGATTTTTTTATATTCAAAAGAGTATTTTTTTCGAACTTGATCTAAAAAAAAAAATAATAAATGATGATTATGTAAATCAATGTATACCTGGTGATAATTTGCCATTATCTTTGATTTATATAATTTAAAAACTAACTTCTTATATGTTTTCTTTCTTTCAATTTTTCATAGTATGTGACTCGGAAAAAGTTATTATTTCTGTGATAAAAATGGATCTGCCATTTTTCGATTCAACCGCATCGATCATAATCACAGAAGGTATCTCGTGAAGAAAAGTTGTTGTTAAAATTTTCCTTTTTATCCCGCGGATTATAGAATGGGAGGGATGATGCCACGATTGTATCTGGAATTCGTCGTAAGACGAGATGAACGATGGCCGATTGTTAATCAGTGGATAATTTCTTCACGCGGGACGACAGTAATAGATCGTACGAGCATCAATCCTCGGTTTTATGCGAGCGCGATGGTACACGAAATGAGGTGCCATCGTTCGCCGGCAAAACGCCGTTATATTTCAACCGAACATGTCATAATCTCCCGTCGGAACCATCGCAAAACTGCCGTTAAATGTACCTAATAGACAAGATCGCGCGCGACGAAACTTTCGTCGGGTTAATCGGCCCGTGCGCGAGTGCACGGAAGTGGGAAACTCACCTAACCACCACGGTATTCATCTTCCACGGTAGGGTGAAATTCTTGTGCGAATCCCTCGAACAGAACGTGTGCAATTTAGATCCGGCGGGGTCGCCCTCCTTCTTGTACTCGTGTATTGTCAGATTCCACGCAGTGCAGGGTCCTGTTAAGTAGAGAAACCATAGCATGGGGCGGACAGTATCATTAAATTTAATATTGCAACCATGTAACTTTGAATCCATGCTACTTTTGAAATATTAAGATGTATAGAGAAATAATATGAATAATTTGAATGTTGAATATCTATATTTTCACAATATGTAAATTTTCATAAATTTTTATAGCGATAAAAAATTATATATAGCGAAAAAAATTCGCACGATATAAAATATTATTAATTACAGATTTTTTAATCATCGAAGTAATATTTATTTATATAAATTTGTCATTGTAATATATATATTTTTTGTTTTTTTATAAATATTCTTTTCGTTTATTAAATTAGTTCCATTATTCAAGTACATATTTATAATTCATGATTTGCATTTTGAAATTATACGAACAGATATTTCTTTCATTGCTTATCTTTTATTCTATAAAAATTTGTAATACGCTGTACATAAATAGGTTAACAATGAAAATTATTGCCAGGATTGTTGTTGATGGGATAAACATTTTAGTGAAACTCTCACATGTATGATAGAAAATAGCACTCAACGATTAAATTTTGCAAGAGAAGTGATTGGTTAAAGAAGGAAGATAAAAAAGAAAAAGAGAGAGAAACGTACTCGTGCTATGATTTGAGAAGTATATTAAAACCATTTCCGGCGTTTACGAGGCTTTGATTATGATTTCTACGAGTACTCTATTCATAATGTTCTATAGAAGGGGAAGTAAATGAGAATGAAGGTAGAAACGAGGAAACAAAAAAAAACAATTTCTATTGTAAAGTTTCGAACGAAGTGTCGTCATCAAAATAATTCGATTCGTAGTCCCGTTCATAAAATACAGACTGTTTCATATAAAAATCTCATTAATTTACTTCATAACTCGCGTAAATACTCGCTACTTCATAATGGTAACAGAAAAATACATGAATTTTTCGATAGAAACTTTTCGCATCATATATCTTTTCTCTCAAATCAATTTCTGATATCCAACCTATTTACTAATATTCCATAATGATTCATTCGTAATTTTTCATATTCACGAGCTTTATTCAATAAAACCATTTCCTTTTTTGTACAGAGAATACGCTTCGTATGTAATAGAATTTTTTTATATTATGCGAACGTATAAATCAGCTCTGGCTCATTGTATTACTATGTATTTTGCTGTATTGATCAATCGCCGTCAGTATTTCGAAAGAAATTATGAATAAGCTCACAATAGTAAAATATTTTCTTTTTGACACGTTTTAATCGAATAATCGAATAATAACGAAAGAGTGACAATATCAAACGTTTAGTTTCGAAAGAAAAAAAATTACATCACTTCTCTCATACGATTAGAGAACATAACGGAACATAACTTCAAACATAAGTTCACTCATACAAATGCAATATTATGCTAGAAAGAACAATATTCCTTGCACCACATTTCACACCGTGAAGAACAGTCATAATATTCCCAGACTCATATATATATATATATATATATATATATATATATATATACATATATATGCGATATGGGGTGGCCGTGTGCCTTTGCTGCGCTCGTAAGATGACGACTTACGTTACTGCGGGAGCCTAGAGAAGGCGACGAACGGAAAAGGCGGAAAAACGGGTGGAACGCGAGGAACGCGCGCGGCAGAGGGAGGACACAGTGGGAGATTTCTGCAAAGTGAAGCTCTAGCTTTCGTCGTCGTAGTAAATCCGATGGTCTCTTTAATCTCGCGACCCACTGCCATTCGTTTCGCGGCGCGCTCCTCTGTCTTCTCGGTCGGTCGGGTCCGCGACGTCCTCTCTTACCCTTAGACTTTATTCTTCCACAACTTTCACCCTTTCGCATCCGCGACGGCGACGGCGGAGCCAATGGCGCGGATAGAAATTCTGGCGGTCTCTCGGAAGAAAAGCAATCGAGGGAAGATTTCTCCGTGTCGTCGCCAGAGATGGAGCGCGTCGTGTGCAAGATGATCTATCTCTGTTTTCTCTCGAGCCTCGACTAAGATTGGAATAGAATTCTACAAATGGAATTCTATTGCGGGATAGAAAGAGAATTTCTGCTTATCGAAATAAAAGTTAAAGGAGTTATAGGACCGGGAATATCTTTAAGAATAATTGAAAGAAATATATTCTCGATATATAATAAATATAATATTCGATACAATGGGTTGGCCTCATCTATGTTTCTTTTCATTTAATATATTTGAATTTTTTCCAAGAAAATCTTCTAAGCATTATAATAATAAATTTTTAGTAAATATTGCGAAAAAGATGCGATTCGCAACAGTCTTCTGAAATAATACTTGAAATAATTTAATAATCATACTTATTTATTAATAAATTTATTAATAAATATATCGATTAAATAAGATATATCTAATTTTTTTACTTGAATAAAATTAAGAAATTTGCTAATATATTTATTATTGAATCATGATATATTAAATCATGATACTTTCGTGTAAAAATTAAAAAAAATGCATTTTGTAGAATAAAATAATTATAGTTTAATAATTAAGTATTGCTGTTATACTTTAAAAAAATTAGAATATAGAGCTAAATTACATTAGTCATATTACAAATATATTTCAGATATTTAGATAATGTTAAAAAAAGCAGGTATGAGAAAGAAGTGATAGGATAAAATTTTGTAGAAAAGATATAAAAATTTGCCAACAAAGTTTGGACGTAATTACTGAACGGATTGTAGAAAGGACTGCTTACTGCTCTGTGTGGACTTGACTTCGATGATGAGTTGTCGGTCGATCGTCGAATCCAGGATCCACGTGCACTTCTGCTGATAATACTGATTCAGCTTGAGCCCGGCACTCGCTAGATCACCACCATTGACCTCGCCTTCCGGTTCCGCCATCGTGTGATCACCGCAGTAAGTGTCATTGATAAACTTGTAGGCCGCGTGGAAATTGAGGCCCGCCTTTGATGACCTCGACCACTCGATGTAGACCGGGGTCCAGCTACGGATACCCACCGGAAGCCAGTCCTGCGCGATAATAGAGCCCGTTAAACGGATGAAATGGGACACGAGGGATATGACGTGGAAAATGGCAGGCGGGTCGGAGAAGATGAAAAGCGCGACGAGAAATATGGACTAAAAGAGCCGTTAAGAAATTGAAAATAAGACGAGCCCCGGCGATAAAAAGCCGCTGGGATGGAATACGCGAAAGATAGATAAATACATAATGGAGACTATAAATTTAATCGCACGATATTTGCCGCAATATTGAAGAAAAGAAAAAAAAATGATATTAACGATTTATCAATAACTAAGCCATATGCTTATTGTCAATCGCGGATTTTGAATTTAATCCTATGCAGTTAAATTACACAGATTTAGCTTATTGTTTTTGCATAATAGCTTCAATTGTACCGAAATAATGAGTATTTGAATGAGTAAAATGATGATTCAACGAATCGAAATCGTTTATAAGCTCACCATAACGATTACACTCGACTGGGTAATCTGATAATACGTCTATTAATAATCATCGTGTGGATACAGTTAAAGTCAGGTCAGTTGTACGACGTGTGCGAATTATAAACGCGTGTATGAACGCAAACAAATTTTATATTGGATCAATTATCTAGCGTTGATAGCTCTTTCATATTTTTTCAGCTTAACATAAACACGTTGAATTGAAAACGTTAGAAAATTTTATGTGCGTTTGCAAACACGAGTTTATTTTTTATTTTTGCATCAGTCTGTATTGATCGTACACAACAATTGTATATTAAATTCATCACAAAAGTCATTTGGATTATTATATTATATTTTAATTATTTATATACTGATTATACAATATTATGATAAATTATAAAAAATGATGATATCATATGCTCGCGCATTAGTAAAACTGACGTATTTAATAACAATGTATTACATATTGCATTGAATGAATTTTCCATAACAATTTCGTTGCGCAGAATTTAATTTAGGATGTTTAATTTATCAATGGTAGCGAAAAATTTATTTTAGATTTTTCAAATGTGCGTATGTAATAAATTTTCCCTTTTTTCGAAAAAATGCATATTTCGCTCAGAGCGATATAACAGGCACAAAGACGGTAACGATCGCGTTCACAGAAAATTGCGTATAGCGGGCAATATATTTTAACGACATCGCCAGCGTTCTCGTGTGACAATACGGAGATAAAAGTCGCGGCAATAACGATAGCTTTTATCTCGCTGTATTCAAGAAGCGAAAGTACACGCGGTAAGATGCAAAGCGGCAACATCATGATGTGTCCATCCATGAATAAAATTTTTCCGCCGTTTACGCGCGCTCACCTGGTAATTTCCGCAGAGACATGTGACAATGTGTCCGGTCTCGGAGACAAGCAAAAGGTGGTCCATGTTCTCCACGGATTTGCTGACGCAGTGGCAGCCGCTGTCACCGCACTTGGTCTCGCACGGACTGTTTGGAGTCTGTTTCGTGCTACCTTTTATCTATAAACAGACGCATCGATGAAGCAAATGCAAAATGATGACAAAATTTAAAAATCCGCGTAGATGGAAGAAATTGAAAAAAAAATAACGGAAACACGATCGATTAATTTTAAAATAATGCAATCTCACGTCTATAAAATTGGCTTGCTATCTCTCCTATGATTAAGATGCTTTTGTGTGCGCTAAATATATGTTATGAAAACGATTTATATAGCGCGGGATTAAAGCTGTACGATTCTCTCGGTTGTGCGACGAATTTGTAACGTAAATGCGATGCATATCGTTCAGCGCGGGATTACAGTCGCTATGCTTCCACCGGAAATTCAATTGCTGCATTTAATCGTTCTCAGCAGAGAATCGCTGAAACCGTTGTTTCGCCTTCGGGAAACCATGTCTGATGCAACGGAATATTATTTAAACGCGGATTAAAGGCCGGCATCGCGTGCAAATGGAGATTAAAAGTTTTAGTTTTCGGAATAAAACTTCTCCCCACCCCGGCATACCCTCCATTTGACGGTAATGTTTGCTCGTGACGTTTTCTCTCTCTTTTTTTGACGTCGACTCTAATGCGAAAATTTTCATTCGCGATGGAAATGCCCGCGGCACAGCATTTAAAGGCCGGGAATAAATTTACGATTTCAATCCCCTCCTCTTCCCCGGGGCGGAGCCGATTAAATGAACGATAGAGAGATTAAACATTTCGTCGGGTAACTCACGGTAATGACCACCGACTGGTTGGGCGCCGGTATAAAGTGCTGCTTGCACTTCACCGGACCTTCCATAGCGAATAATCGGTGCGGCTCCGGATGCACCACCGAGCCTTCCACCGGTGACGTCAATCCGTAATATTCGACGTCGCACACGCTGGCAGGCTGCTGAGTGCCACCCTCACGTTCTGTAACGTCAGAGAAAAATGCGTTGCTTATGGAAGTCGAGAAAAATTGTCGAGAAAAATTACCTCGTAGCTTCCGCTTTGTAAAAATAACTGAAAGAAAATTTCCATCTATACGCAAACACGGTATCTTTGATTCTCTCTTCTCTATTATTTCATAAAAAAATTCTGTTTTTACAATAATCGTTATTAAATTATTATTACTTTAGCAAATGAAACACAAGAAACGTACAATATATAATAATGAAGTAATCATGTTGTGCATCTACTCGCAGATCTCAATTGAGAAAATTACCAAAATGATCTCGAATGTATATAAGATATCTTTCCGTTTTATCGTACTACGCTCGTGGAATTCTCGCGAGACTCTCGTAACTGTCTATCTCTTTCCTTTACGCCTTTTAGCTTAATTTTTCCGCAAGATAGTTTCTGACAGCGCGAAATATATATACATCAGTGAGTTAAAGATGAATAAACATCCTATGAGCACTTTTATTTCAAGCCAAAGCTCGTGGCAAGACTGAATTTGCTCATTTCGTTTCTTACACGGCAATTTCGCATGATCATTCGCCGCAATTTCGGGATCGCCCGGTTGAATTCGACCCTTTTCCATAAGAAGATCGGTCTCCACGGATCGCATAAAGTTTTATGTTCCACCGAATAGTACCCGGCGCGAGATAAGGTAGGCTCCAGAATTCCGAGAGATCGAAAACGTTCGATCTTCGTATTCGATGGTCGTCGAGAGAAAAAGAAATAAAAAAAGAAGAGAGAGGGAGAAAGAGAGAGAGATGTTCTCTGTAAAAAAGTAATGGAAAATCCGTGCAGGAACGCCATTATGAACACGAAATGAAAAACTAGCGAAGCCATGATTGATTCGAATGCGACATTCGGCGTGCGTTTTACCTTCCCATTTATAAATACAACAATTTTATTTAAGATTTGAAACGCTCAGAATTCCCTCATCGATCGCTGCGAGCACAGAGAGATATGGCGGTATAAACGCGCGTAACATGTGTAACACGTGTAAACGTAATAACGTCGACCAGTGGCACGGTCGTTCTCGTCAATCAGCGTCCCATCAGTAGTTTGTCATTGGGCATGACTTTTGATTCTTGTCATTTACATCTCTTTTTTATAATGACTCGTGATTGGATTTGAGTGTTGTTCGCTTGTACGATTGTTGTAATTCGGAATGGATACCAGACGGTATTGCCGATAGCCATTTAAAAAATCCGTCGAAATGCGAATTTCATAGTCGATACGATGCGCCTCGTAAAATTCGATCGATGTTTAAAATCTCATCGATATTAAAATTCAATCCGCGTTTTGTGTTTTGTTCTACTAAAATTCTATTTTATTCGTGCTAATTCTGTATTGTGATAATCCGGTTTTAGTTTGCATTTCGTGCACTATTGAAAATTGTTTGCGCTTATGAATAATCAATTTTCAAATTCAATGAAACGTGACGCTTAAAAATTTATGAGAGAAAAATTATAGATAAATAAAGCAAAAATTTAAATTTTCACAAATAATACATTAGAAAATTGTAACGAAACAGAAAAAACAAATCATTATTTTATTATATTCCATTGTAAACAATTAAAGTTAAACCGTGAAAAATTAGCAATATATCTTTCAGACACATTTAATTAATTATTTGTAAAAAATTACCTAAGAAGTTTTTATGTGAAAAATTATAGTAAATCCATTATTTTAGCCTAGAATTTAAATATGATGTTCTGATCTCGCTTTCTGAGCTCCTTTGTAATAATCCCTGGCTTTAGTTTACAAAGTAGCCATAACAGTCGCAAGAGCGAATTATCCGACCGCAATTAATTAAGGGTAACCTGATATGAGCGCGTAATACACTCGGAGTCTCATTTTAATCTCTGGAATTGCCTGGCCAAGGAAAGGTCGTAGCTACTTAATCGGGGTTAAATCTAATCTTTGAAACGGGATTAAGCACGGCCGCTGTTTTTGCGGATACGGACACGTCGATATTGCGAATGTGTCCTCCGGCAACTAACCAGAATCCTCGGCTGAGTGCCAAGCGAATTTCAAGATTACCGTCTGGACGTGCCTATGTTCATCCGATTAAAAGGGAACCGAGACTGTGACATCGATATGCCAGGCCGTATTTACGGTAATTAGTTACTCGTAATTGGTGGTTTTGATGCGCTGCGATTTATCACTCGAAAAGTTCCGGCCAAAAACTCGATTTTGAATCGATCTGAAGACGGTAGTGGTCGCAAATTGCACCGATTATGAGAATAATGCTGATTATTGCCATAATAATCGAGCACTCGGCAGAATTTGTCATGTTTTATAAATAATCAGATGTTGGATAAAATGATTATTATTCATAAAATTACGCATTATTAAGTGAAAATAAAACGTATTGTCTATTAAAATACTACAAAATGCGATTTTTCAAGAGAGACTTTCAGCTCGAGAAGAAAGTCTGAGAAACATCACATTATAGGATAAATTTTATTCTCTTTTCTAAACTTTCACTCGGAGACATAAAACTAAGAAGCTTTTCTCGGAAGCGCGTAAAGAACGCGATTGCGCTCGTAACTCGCGAAAAAAAAAGAGAAAAAAATAAAAGAGTTGCGCCGAGGGCGATAGAGCACGGTGCGAAAAAGTTGACGAGGTTTTTCGCGATTTCGCGGCGCTTACACGCAGGGAACTTGATTGCGCGGCGACGGCGCATGTCATAATCCAATTTCTGACATGTGGCCGTTTATTTTGCTCCGGATCCGCGCGACGAACCGCGGTACGTTCGTTCTCATCTGACGACGCTTTTTTTTTTACGATACGACACGAGGGTGCGTACGCACTCACCGTCATGAAAGTAGTACGAGACCTCCATATACTCCTCGTCAGTGGGGCTGTTTGAGGCGCGCCTTAAAACCACCGTCATGTCTCGGCCATTGGACGAGTAACGCTTTGGCTCGACGGACCTGGAAGAAGAATTAAAAGAATGTCATTTACGCTCGTTTTAAACTTCCGCTGTCGATGCGCCGAAGATTTTTCACGTTTTCGCGCGAAAGTGGTTTCCGCTCGTTTTTTAGATCGAAAGTTGATATAAATCAAATGACAATAGTATATATTTTCTATTATAGTATATATTTATATATTATTGAGACAGATATTGGTCAGTATTTAAATACTTGCTCGGATACATTTTGCATCAAGTGCGTCGATACTTGAATATCTATCGAGACCTAACTTTAGTTTATAATAAACCATGGTCGGTTTAATGAAGAAAAGTTTACAAATGTTGATTATTATTATATTTATTTTTATTTTATACTAAAAGGATTTATTTTGCTGTCATATAAATAAATAAATAAAATATATAATTAAGTAGCTTTTTGATCATGAAAAGATCGTGAATTCTTATTTCAGATATATAAAATTTATCTTATGAATTAATGACACAGTCGAGATAACTAAATGGTTTTGCCTCTCGATCATATACAATTTATAAAGGAACAAATTGCATTTGCCGGAACAGTATTATGAATAATGATTGATCCGATTTCCGTTTGTATGTACGTTATATTCGCATATATACCATGCAGGATTCATGACATTTTTCACCGGAGATGAATTTAGGACACGTGGAAACTTCGACGCGAATTATTAATTCACCATTATCTCGCGAAGAGAGAGAAGAGCAGACGAGAGCAAAGCGACGCGCACGAAAGGGCGCGAAAGGGTGCTCCGCCGGAAGTTGCACGAGAACCCGAGACAAAGCGGGATGTAAATCTTGCACGTAAGACTCTATTTTCTCCGGGCAAAGTTGTAAATGGACGTCTTGGGATCCGCCTCCCGATAGTCCGCCGGCGCGAGAATTGCCTATGAGTTAGTTTTGCAAGATAAATCGGAGCCCTTTTCTTCGCCACCCTGTGGTATCGCGGGAGGAGGACCGGCCCTTTGTCGCCCGAATGAGTGCTCGGAGCTACGTCGTCGACTTTCTAACACCGCAGCAACTTTTCCGCATGACGAACGATCTGACATTATTCAAAGTTAGTGACGTTTGACGCTTCTTTAGATAAATTTATCGAGACTATCCATTGGAAGTGAATCATATCTCTTCGAGATATGTTTTGCCAAAACACAAAATTTATTGGTTGATGTTTTTTTTCTATACAACTAAAAAAACATAAAAATGAAACTGTTACAAATGGAAATAAAAATGTTAAAAGACGATCGCGACTTGACAAGAAAAAATTTTAAATATAGTTCAATAAAATGTTATAAAGAGTAATAGATAATATCAAATTTAATAAACTGATTTCATCATTTTTTAAAATATAGACAGAAAATCTTAAATTATTATATTTTACAAGAATATGCGTGACCTCTTTAGAATTGCATTAATTTTTTTCACAATGTGATGCTCATAAGATATAAGGCATATTTAAGTTGTATTAAAGGCTGGCATAATTATTTTCAAAACAAATCACGGAATCTTTAAATGATAGTTTACTTTATTAGTGCGCTGGATAAAGTGATGGCTCGATACGATTGATCTGTGTCGGTTCATTGGCTGCTCCCAACAGGGGGTGGCTTTTAGTTGGATATGGCGTGCATGAAGATTAAATTACTTGATGGCTATTCCGGATTGATCCTCGGTGTATCCAGTATCCATGCACGGGTAGAGATTAAATAGAGCGTGCTCCAGGCAATTCACTTGAATAATTGCAATGCCAATTAGAGCCTTTCATCCCTTTGTTTAGTAAGTATCGTTTACAAAACGTGATAGAACCGTGTCATTAGCATGCAATCGTTTTTAGATCTTAACTTTGCTATTATGCTCAAGATATGCCTCTGCTTTTCCTATTAAATTCTGTCTCTACAATGTTAAATTAAGAATACAATTCTCAACATTTATATTCTCGAATTCTAAATGAAGATTCCAAATTGTTATCCTAGATTTCTCTTGTATTTCTATGGTAATTCTATGGTCTTTATACGGCAAAACTCAAAGTTTGCTTCGCCAAGTCCTAATCTGCGAACCTTTGTAATCTCGTTTTATATGGTATCGCCTTAATGTCGTTTCGGGAGTATCGCGAAAGACGGAAGGCGGAAACCGGAAATTCGGCGGGATACGTGCTCGACTGCGAGCGGCGACGGGAGTGGAGAACGTGCTGGGCGGATGAAGCACGGGCGTTATTTCGCATGAATTTTTACGAGATTAGTCGACATAAAACACGCGGCGGTCCCATAGGCACGTACGTACGTACTGCATCCGGTCGAGCCTGCTGTTGCTTGCTGCCGAGCATAAATCGTCTCGGGACCGGCTGGGGTGCGCGGCAAACGTTAGAAATTAAAATAGATTAAAAACTGCCAGAATGGCGTCAGCAAGGTGGCGCAAGACAAAACGCGCGCATGATAAATATAGTTTTCTTCTTTCCCGAAAAGAAAAAACAATTCTTCCTGTTTTAAGAGATCGAATGGAAGGTCGACGATATAGCGTGTTTGACTTTTAGTTTTCTTCAACATCGAGCCAGCAAATGAATGTTGATCATGTGTAATTGTTGTTCACAGAAGTAAATTTTGCATCTCATGAGAATAATCGGACGGCTTATATTTTTCTATGCATACACATACTTTTGAATATTTAACATTTATAAGAGTTTTGCTAATTCTTTAATATGAAATTCTTGCACGAGAGTCTATAGAAAAGCTTCCTTCCGTGGCTAGTTGATTCTTCGAATTCACTTGGAGATTTCCCAGCATTCGAGACATGTGCGAGTATCACAATATTTCAGACTTTTTACTCGTTTCGAAGGGAACGAAAGAGAGAGAGAGTAAGGACCAGAGCGAATCGATCGGTAGTCCATATCGGTACTGGACCGGGACGATGGCGCTTCGAAATCTCTTCTGGGAAATCTCTTAGCCCACTCGCGCATCACTCGTTGGACCATTCGTTGGTCGGTTCTCGTTCTTTTTGCGCCGGTCGCATCAAGTTCACCTCCGATGCAGAGTCCGCGCGACAGACATTTCGCATCCGTCCATTTCCCACGACTTGCATAATGCATGCGGCTGTTGGCTGTTGCAGGACGTCTAGGACGTCTCGCTCGCTCGTTTGAAAGTCCCCTTTGCACTCATCTCCCTCTTTCTTCTTCTTTCTCTGGGTTCGGTCAGTCGGTCGGAATCCTGGTTCGCGGATCACCACCGGTTTCCAGCCTCGAGAGGAATCATGTGATACCTTTGTTTGTCGTCACTCGACTCTCGGTCTGTTTCCACGGCCGATTGGCCAATCTCGTCTCTGGAGGCTTCGGCATCGAAGTTCCTGCCGGCAAACTTGTCCTGCATAGACGGACAAATCGCGAATACGAATAAACGAGATAGCTTTAATATTTCTTTTAGAGGTACAAATGTGTCTTCATTTTTATAAAATCGTGTAGTTTTTTATTATCTTTCGCTACGAGAGAGACTTGCGAGCACGTTCTGAGTTACATTTTATATCATCTGGCGTTTTTCATAATTTCATGAGGTAAATGGGAGAAAGGAATGTCATGACATCTGATGTCGTGACATCTGATCGAATAATTGTCGGAATAAGGATTTAAAGAGAGATTTTAAAAATTCCGGAATGCAATTCGTTCTGTTCACGTGCTACGTCGCTGCTCAATATGTATGGCTAAAAATCTTCCTTCAAATATCTTTCTCGTCACGTTTTTCATTTGATATGACCTCTATTCTACCTCTCTTGAATTTTTATCAAGCATCTCATTCTTACATCGATATCTCGACTTTACTGCAAAAAGCACGTATGACGAATAAAAATATCTGCTGTAGTAATTTACCGTATAACGACGACAACATAGATAGAATAAAATATAAAAATCTTTTATCAAACATTCTCAAATATTTCTAATAAATTCAATATTTCATAAGTTTATATACTATTTTAATCATTTCGCTTTGTTAATATTCACTTAATAATAATTCGCTTTAGTAATATTCATTAATTTTATTTACGTAAAATTTTTACTTACCACTACATACCATTCTTTTTACAAAATAAATATTTATTTTCGAATTTGTTTTTCAAGCTTCAATTTTTAAAATTTTTTTATTTTATAGACACCTAATTCGGGTTGGTATGATAGCATTTTGTTATCAAACATTGCAAGCCATAAATTTTACAATGAAAGAGGGGAGAGAGGTATTAAACGGATTAGCTGGTATTCTATCAACGCCCAGCTCGTGCTCACATTTATTATTATTCGCGCCAGTAAATCGATCGGCATTAAATGTTTACGATGTTCGAAAGAACCATGTTCATAAAACGCGTTTCAAGGTGGAAAGTAGCCTTGTCGTGTACAGGGATTTGTATCACATAAACGGTACGCGACAAAGAGTCCATTTTCTTTTGAATGAAAGTAACGTGACATTGAACAGCATAAAGTTACGCGGTTTACGTGTTTTTCGTCGTATAATTTTACGCAGAATCAAATTTTTAAGATATCATCGAAAGAATGGTTCGTAAAACAACTCTACAAAGCATGATGACTTCGTTAAATATGTATATTACATTCAAACATATTTTGATAATAATTATTATATGATATGTATTATATTATATGTTATTACATTTTTAGCTGAGAACATTACGCAATTTTATAGAAAAATTAAGCGAAAATGCAAACCAGTGTAAAACGAACGGAAATTGAATTAACTAATTAACAGTTGCTTTCGCATGATATTAATACTCACGTAATATGTTTTCGATATATGTGTTTCTCGTGCATTTTTTAAAGTTACGTAATCAAACGAAAAAATTTACGATGTAATCAAAAGATTCTTCTATCGTAAAAGTCACGCTATCACAGGAACGTTACGAGCAAAAGTACATACGCCCGACCAGCTGTTCCAGAGTTGTGCTATAAATTTTTGTTATGCTCTTTTATATGCGTCTTGTGACAATATTGTGGAATTAAATATAACTGGAAACAGCTGAGGAAAAATAAAATAGTTACAACTTTAACCGTACTGTTATTGATTCGCGAGAGCACTATGTCTGTAAAATACACATTTCGACACAATTTCTGTGGTCAAAGTTGCTTATCTAAAATCGAATTAAAAAATATACCGCTTATAGAGCAGAAAAATATAATATTGATAATTGATGGAACTTTCGTAATTATCTAAAAAAAATAAGAAATATGAAAGTTTCTTAATGAAATTAATAAACTTCGGCTTTTAATGTGCAAGATTAAAAAGTTAATAAGATAAAAATAAGTAAAATAAAAAATTGAGCGCACTAAGATTCTTGTTAAAGAATCATTCATTGAAGAAAATCGAGGGACGCGCCACTTTCGAGATATCGCATGAATAACTGCATCCGGACTTTGGTAATGCTGCGGCAACGACTGAACGATTTCAGATAACTACCATTCTGTGCATTCTGTGACATCTTTTCATTCGGATATGTACTCACTATAAATGGCCTCGTAACCACGGAATGCACAGCGTGTGAGAGTCTGGCGCAGTCATCTTTCATACTTTGACTTCCGGTGAGATGAGTATGAGGTATCGCTTTGCATACCGCGCCTAGCTCTTGGATGATGGATCTGGCAGGGCTGTTTTATGATTACGTACCGACGATCTCTTGCTGCTCCTCTTCAATATGATGACAGGCACTGATTCTTATTTCGCGCGTCAATTCAGTTCTTGTCTCGGGAGATACGTGTCCGAGGTATATAATGAATAAATTTCAAAGTATATGTATATACATTGTGAAAAAAAATGCGTCGGTCTCACGTCGACCTAAGAGCATCGGAGTGAACGAAATTTTGCAACGAGACTCGTACATGAATTAGCGCATTAGTAGGACTGTTGCGTCACTAGGCGATTTGTATCCTGTATCTTGGTTAAGAGGACTAATCTCCATTTTGATGCCGCGGGTTATAAGGAGACTTAACCAGTTCTCTACCGGTTTAAGCCACATTGCGCGCATTGCGAGTTGCCGAGAGAAATCCCCAAATTTACCAACTCACTATTACAATGCATCACCAATAAACCGTATACGATAGTATCTCTCTAATGACTGCTCTAATAACTATGGGGAGAATCCACTTACTTATCCTGGCCCGCGAGTTCCCGCGGGAGCCACTGCGCAGGGCTGCAGATCTTCTCCAAAGAGTTGGCAGTATCCAGTATCTCTGGCGAACCGTCGAATATCTCGATCGCCGATTGACAGGACTGCGCACTGTAAAATCGATAATGGGGAGCATTTATACTTATCAATAGAGTTTATGATAAATCGCGTGCCATAAAAGTTCGACAAAAAGCAACATTAAAGAAACTCAACATCGATGTTTCAATTGCAAATCCTTGCGCAAAGAATTTTTTTTTTAATTAATATATTTTCAAGATAAATATATTTGCAATTTTTTAGAATCAATTTTATCGAGTTGTTAAAAAAGCAGATTTAATGCACTGATTGATATTTGCATTCAATTTTCTTTTTAATTTTGAAGAAGCTGAACATGTTGTGTTTGCTATTCCGAAATAATCTGCAAATGTAAACCGAAATGTTGGAACGCGCGCTACGTTTCTGTTGCTTTTAATCGCCTCAGAGACATAGCAAGGAAGCTGGAAAGCTGCGAAAATCCGACATCAATATCGCTATTACGCCCTCTCGTTCGTGCAACCAGCATGAAAATGAGTAAAAGAGGAAGAGAAATATACACGTGGTTGATCGGGTAGACGAAGCGATATTCTCCCCGTACTCCGAGATATTTTCTCGGTTCACCTGGCGCTCGGATTTACAATATTCCGTTTAAAATTCATACTATCTTCAATAAAGATCCGCCATTTTGCGCAGCATACCTTCAGCTTATATCAAATTTTATATTATATATATAGTAAGCGGTTTTGGAGACAGTGGCAATGTCGAAATTGTTGTCAGAGATACGAGATCGTCATCGTTATTGATTCCGAGAGTGGTGATTTCATTCCTTTCTCAAAGCGTGTTCTATCTCTTGGCGCATACGAAACACAATCTTTGTAAGACGCGGTTACGCATTTCGCATGTCGCCGGCGTCTCGCATGATAATTGAAAATACTCGGAATACGAACGTGAAATGCAAACTGTGTGTCTTTTCTCCTTTTTGCCATCCCATGTGATTTAACGCTACTTTCCGCGACGAGCCTCGGGGCGGCTTCTCCCTGGTTCCGCGTTTCCATAAGTTACGCAAGCCACCGCTAACTGTGAAATAAGGATCCCGCCGCGCAAACGTAACGGCGCGATCGAGGAATAGCTAACTTTCTCACATAGATGTTGAATAATATTTTAGATTTTCTTAAAAGATCCTGACGTTTCACTATATTCGGATTTCTATTAAGGCATCGACGTGTTATGATTTATAACTTTATAATACCTATTCAATTGATTCCTTCATTAAGGCAAAATAAAAAAATGAATAACGATTTAGAGCTATTTAAGAGATTTAAAACATCTCAAGTTAAATATTTTAACTCGTTATCCAAAATAGATATTCACTTACTCTTCTTTATCGAAAATTAATATTTTTATCTTTATACAAGCTCAAAATTTTTATCGTTCGAAAATTCTTAAATATTTTAATATTTGTTTTTTTTTATTTTGTTGTGGGAGAAAACAGTTGAGTTAGATGTAAAAGTATTGTATTTTCTCAGTTGAATTGGATGTAAAAGTATTGTATTAATCAATAGAATAAACCGACTTTTTTGAACTATTCTGATCGTCGGTATATCGTCGTGAATTTGTAAAGATTAGCAAACGCGATCGAAAACAATCAATAAATAAACGCAAAAAGTAATTCCGTACAGTGCATCGTGCTCGCCATTACGTGATGACTGTAATTTTCTCTGGTCTTTGAACGATGCGATTGGTAGAACACATCGATGTAGAAGATACACAGTTTCTCGCCCGATCCAATCACGATCGCAGCGTTTCGATGTACGGTTTCTTGGAAATTCGTAAAGGGTGAAAATAGGATTACCTGAGGTTGTAACTGGCTAAAGAGACATGTCCGGTGTCATAAGCGCGACCACGCAACACGAGTCTGCATGTCGTGGACTTTGGCTTGCCTCTGGTATCATGGTGACCTGCCCGTACCTTCTCTCCACTTACTTCGAGATCGCAGCTGCTGATCATGGCACCTTGGTCCTTACGATGATCATGTAAGTCACGGTTGTTATAACCGGACTTCATCATTTCAACTAGAAGATTAGATAATCGAGTGAACTTCAATAATAATTTTTTTTTCATATATATGATATAAAATTAAAATGGAGATAAAAATTCAAAAGATTGATTCTAAAAATTCTAAATATAATGCAAGAATCTACTTTTAATTCTTAATTATTTTCCAGAAAAATTAAAATGAAAACAAAAATTCGCAAAGACATAAAAATAAATTTTGTTTACGGAGATTACGCAGTATAAACATTTCTAATCCTAATTATTTTTTTATGTTAGCTAGATGATACGAACATTATTTTTTTTGCATTATATAAAATATATGTAACATGTATTATTATTATTTCTTACGACTTTTATTCATGCTGTCAATAGCAATCGTTGTTGGAACTTCCGTCGTCATTTCTATAAAATTCAGTGTCGCGACAAAACCGTTGTAATCGAAAGGTGATACTTCGGGACCAGTTCTGTAAAATAAGAAAAATATTTTTATAGATGTATAAAAACAAAAAAATATTTAAATTAACCAAACGTTTGCAATAGATCAATATTTCATGCTTTGATAAAAAAAAAATAATTTTTCACCTAAACTCGACGAGAAGTTCTTGACCGTCATACATCAATGCTATTCTTTCCTTGCCGCAGAGCATCTTTAGCAACGGACTCGACGTGGTCGGGCCGGAATAAACAGCGATATAATCACTGGTACAATGGCTGAAACGAAAATAGAAGTATCTTTATAATGTGATTATATATTTGGGGCTGTTTAAGGGCTTCGATACTCTCTTCATCTTCTGTCGGGATAAATACCGATATAAACGAGAGATGGAAAATAAAAATGGATAGGGCGTGAGAGGAGGAGAGACTATCGAAACGGTCGAGAATCATGTACCGATTTATCAGGGAATTCACGAGGATGAACTGGATTCGAGAGGAGGCCGTGGAAGTTTTGCCATTAAGAAAATATCCAATATTACCGGTAAGGCGAAGAGCGGCTGCGCCGAATTACCGCGATGGGATGGCGTGATTTATTTTACGAGGAAACTTCATCGCGCCTGTACGATCCTCGGCAGGGACGATCCCTCGCAGCTGGGATCACGAAAATGCGATTTTAATAATGTGGCCAATTAGGGGTCATCGTGGCTTTCCTGGAGGAGATTGGCCGTACCTTCGGATTACCGTATATAGACGAGCGGTGATTAAAAGCAGTCTCTCTTCCCCCACAATTATCGCCGATAACATTATGTCATGCTCTATTGACTAGTTCTAAAGTAAAGATTGCTTTGTTGCTTTTAATATTCTGAGATGTTATACTTAATTCATTATAAAATCAAATATTATAAAATATAGTAGAGAGACTAAAATATTATAAGATACAAATATAAGAGATAAAATTAAAATTTAAAAATGTATATGTTATTCAATAAATATTATTCAATTTTTGCATCGCGTGCAATTATGTTACATAAATTAAAAATTTTAGTAAAATGATCATTCTTTCTTTTGCCTATTTTACTATCATTTTGACATTTAATCTACATAATATTCTATTTAATATTATTTGGAAGAATATAATATCAAATAAAAAGAGATAATCATTTAAAATTCTCTAAGATATATTTGAATCTACAAATGTAAATGAATTTCGTACTGAATATTAACCAAAATATATTTTCTGGTCCATCAGCGATATTATTACAATTAAGTAGGTGCTGCGAGCATGTCAATGTTGAAATATTCGAATGGTATTCGCTAAGATTCTGAAGAAGCTGCTCTAAACACGTAACAGGTGCTTTACAAAACTTTTCTCATAATTCTAATTAATTACTTCGAAGTATGAGCACGAAGAAATTAATGGGAAAACTTTGTTGCTCATAGTTCGATTTTACCAGTTAAATTTTGTAGTTAAAATGAAATTCCACACTATTCAAATCTCGCTATTTCATCTCTCATTATTCCAGATTATGTTAACTTATCCCAATGCGCATTAACGAGCAACATGGATTGTGATGAATTAATTACAACATATTATACGTTGTATTAGCACTTAAGTTTAATCAGGGTTTAATCTAATGATCCTTACATTATGTGTCTCTGTGCATAATCATTTATAGACTTTTTAAGTTTTTTCAAATTTATTTTATCAAATATATTTTAATTGATTCATTTTTTTTTAATTTTTTTCTGTCTTTATTCTATTCTACAATACATATGCTGTTTCCCGCGGCGGTATTAAAACTGAAAATTTTTCGTTTTTCTCGTTTTTCTCTTTTTTTTTTTAACGCTTTTTCACACGAGCTCATCACTTTCGATAAATTAGATCCTACCCCTTGAATGGCGCGAACAATGAACAGACCGTAATTATTTCCATTAAGATAGAAGGAAAGGGAAGGAAAGAAGGAAAAGGGGAACTGTCGGTCGGGAACGGATCGTTGCCGCGGAAATAGTTCTGTACGTCATTTTCCGCCCGAGCAGTTTGAACACTAGAAAATCGGATTCCTCCAGCCTCATTTCGCGCGAGGCTCGTGTCGCCCCTAACCATCGTGGAGCAGAAAAGAAGAAGCGAATAGGCTTCCATCCACAGCGGAACTATTGTGTGTGCATGTGTGTGCGTGCGTGTGTGTCATGTTCCGACACGTTACAAAATGTCCCTGAGATAAAGCGCGTTTTAACGCAAATCCACTGGAGTAAATTAAAAATTTCCCACTCTGCGTTGATCTCCTTTCCGCGAAACTCGCATGGGCACTTCGTATCACATCCGGCGCGAACACCAGATAAACGAAGCGAGTTTGCATTATGCAAACCAGATTTTCCAGTCGCGCAAATATTCTTGTTTGCGAACTCAGTCCTCCTCGCATATCTCGCGCGTCCAGTGTTACAATCGCTAAATAATTTTTTAGGCCATCGATGCCCATGACTATTCAAAACGGATACACGCAAAATCCGAGGGAAACGAGAAATGAAAAAAAAAAAAAACAGTACGCACACAACGCGTCAGTGATTACATTGTCGCGAAACTTCATCGTTCCGAAATATCGTTTCTGTGCGCAATTATTCGAGGGCGCGCAAAGTTTTGCAATATTGAAATCGAATGAATATCTGCCAACTCTCAAAAATGTGTAATCCTGAATTTTCATCTTTCTTTTTTTTTTCATTTCAATTCGTATAAATATTCTCTCATATTCACTCATATGTTTTCGGGATATTTCACCATCCTTCATTTCGATATTGTGAGTTTTCGGAATTTCGCGCACCCTTCAATATTTCGGAAAAATGGCATTTTTTTAACATTATCCCACATTTTTCTCCCGGGAGAATCTCGAGAGCATTACGATTTTTTGAGATTTCAACGTACGTTTTTAGTCACGATTTATACAAAAAAGGTATTTCGGTCAAAGATTTAAATGGAAGGAACGGAGGGAAGTTTTTCAGGGGCATAAAGTTTCCACGAAATATTTTATCCTCATTAACGACGCCTTTGGAAACATAATAGCGGTTTACTGAAAACCGCTTCCGCTCGCCTTGGCCTTCTCAGCGCCACTGATTATAAAGTGATTAAGGGACAAAATCCGAGTGTAGGAGATAGTGAGATGTTCATGTAGCCGCCGGCAAAAAGGCTCTATGGCGATTAGGTTGATTTTATTAATTAAACGTAGCCGCAGTCACGAACATGTAAAGAACGCTATCGTCGATAATACTATCCTTTTGCGCATCAATTAGAACTATCGTTAGTATAAAGGACCGCAATACTTGTAACCTTATATTCAGCTCTGCTTCCTGTTAATGAGCGCAACATAATGTGGTCTCTAATTATGAACAACATTAGAGATACATAAAATCTGATGGAGAAATTCATATGATTTTTTATTATCTCACGCAATAATAGGAATATATATATATAAAAGAATGTTTCCTAATTATGTTCTTAATTATACACATATAATACATCACATCAAAGATATTGCACACTTTTTTATTTCAAGTTTTCCGAAAAATTGATTCTTCGATTTTCTTTGAAATATAAATACATTTCGCATAAAAAATTTAGACAGCACAAAAAGGCTAATAGATATTTCAAAGATGTCTAAAGCTGATACGATATTTTTATCGGTTTTTTTTAGACATATGTGCTGTCTGGAAAAAATCATTATTATACGAAACATGTACAAGCATATCCGTGACCTGATGGCAAGTTTATTGTCGAGGGATCGGAAAATGCTTTTGAGGGAATAGCTTTGCGGTTCATTATACAATCCGGATCGCCCTTTCGATGGGGGATGACGACGACCGAGCGAAAAACCCCGGCAATCGCAGGACCCGTTTCTTGCAGCTTGCTCTGACGTCTTGGTTTTATTCATTCCACGAGCTTGCTCTCCACAATCTATTCGCCTCGAGTTCTTTCTTCGCGCGAAATCTAAGGTGCGCAGACAGATTCAGGGTATATGTTAATCTGCTTGAGATTACATCGTCGAAAAGGCGCCGGACCGTAATTCCACTTCCGCAGGAAGAAAGTGCGACAGGTCTGAAAAGAGCGATCTTTATGCGGGGGTTCTCGTCTCGCTGTCGTGACGATTCTTCAGCGACTTTCCGCCATATTGAATTGCGACGAGAGAAAAGTGGATCTGGTTTCGTCCACCGAAGAACCGTGATATATCCACGATTCGCAATTCTATCTTCCGCGGGATAATTAAGGCGCCGTAACGGCATGAATAAATTACTATGACGTTACAGAAGGCAGGTGCGCGCGAAGTTAAATGTCAAAAAGGCCGTTGTTGCATCGTTAATCATCGTGCATGGAGGAAAATGTAGTACAAAGATTAGCACGCCGGTTTAATTAAGATTCGCAGTGGGCGATTTATTGCGACATATGTATTATTTAGAAGAGATGCGATCTTATCATTTTGAAAAAAAAATCTCTTTCAATATTTATTTTATTATTATCCGTATTTCACATTAAGTATTTATAACTGTTTCTTATTATACAAAAAATATATTTTTACGCTTTCTATGATAATGAAGTTAGCATGTGCAGCTTTTATCTGCATTGTTTGTAAAAAAACAAGAACGGCTAATATTTGGCTGTTATATTTTGAAGACAGCATCGGCGAAATGATTGCGCAGGGAGTTGTAACAAATGCAATTACGGTAATAATCTCGCGGAAGGCAATAACCGTACACAGTTGCATTAGATGTGGCGGTACACGGGTAAATGCCACGTTTATATTACGCAATCAAAGCGGTGCCAGCAGATATCGTATGTAACTGTGTGTAACTAATGCAGTACTATATAGGCTATGCGATATTAATGTACCGCCAGATCCAATTTACTACTATTAATGCAGCATAGATACGTCACCATTTCGTAGTTATCTTGGGGGCATAATGAAATCAAGTATTCGACTTACTTCATCTAGTGTCACCGGTTAATTAGGGTAAAATATGATCGTAAATTTATTAACTAGATTCGACTAGACACGATTGTGCATCGTCATTCTGTAGCATAAACATGTCATACATTGCTTATCACGATCATACTTTCTTGAAAATGGCGGATAACTGTGTATGCATGTTCTCTTCCACTATATGTCATTCACAGGACAATATGACTCGATAATTAAATATATTTATTGTATGTAATTATCTACAACTTTCTGAAAAATAGTGCTTGACATTTATATAATTTATAGAATTTAATTAATGACGTAATCTTTATA